GCATAAACATTTTAATCATGTCTCAAATTTGAAGGAGGACAAAAGTTACTTGACCTGAAAGTAAAGTTGAAAAAGCATTTTATTTAATAATGAATGGTTAATGCCTTACAGACAATCTCTCTGAAGTCTTGAATCCTCACATACTCACAGACACATGGTATCCACATTGATGGTTCTCTGCCAGGCCTCTGCAGCAGCCAGCTCTGCTCCTGGCTGCATTGACATTGTTTTGCCATAAGTCTGGTTGATTATAAATTAAACACAAGATCGTCTAGATTGATGTCAGGTGAGGTGACTGACATGGCCAGTTAAGGCCATTTATTCTCCAGGACGTTGAATCAAAAGTTTGCCAAGTCCTACAAAGCTCACTGAGAATAATTGTGGAACAAATTGACTGTTCACTTCTATAAAGTTTACATAAATGTTTATGCAGTGAAGAAAACCTTTTTTGTTTTTTAATTATGATGCTGCTTCCTGTTGTTGCTCAGAAGAGTGTTGGTTGTCATCGTATTATGGAGAAGTTGTTTCAATACAGTCAATAAAGTTGCTTCACTGCTTTGCATTCCTACTTGGACGTAGTCTCAGTGATGTCAGCCATTGGTTTCTGAAAAGGCATTTTGAAGCCTAACGATGGCTGCCATTGAAATGCTGACTCCACCTAACTTTTAAGGTGGACCTCTGGCAAACTGCAACAACTGGCACATCTGTCTGTTATCTCAGCTACATATGTAAGCACATTTATGTATAACTTTGTTCATTTTTGCTCTAAAAATTGACATTTTAACATAACCTAATGGGAATTCCTTGTTTTTGCAGCCGGCCTCAAGTGTAAACCCAAGAACTGCCCTTTTCCGCACGTCCGTATTGCTTTTTTAAAAATCTTTTTTTCATTATGTAGGTTGCTGCTTGGCTCTGAATCCTCTTACACACTCCTGCTGATGCAGATGATGCCTTGCTTGTTGGAAAATGCTCAGGTTTTCTTGACCATGTTGAAGCATAAAAATGAGTTTGAACAATAAAACTTTAACTTTACAATCCCTCATTTTGAGTCTACATTCAGATTTAATCAGCATTTCAAATCTTGACAGTTAGATTTGAGTTGTCAAAGCCGTATGTGTTGAGCTGGGCTTGTTTTTCCTCTAAAGTTTGTATCCTGCTGGATGTTGCAAATTCACAAGTAGAGTTGACCGAACATTCTGTTAACTGTCTTTGGCACATCCATCGTGCGCCGCAGCTGGGTCCCCTACTCTCCCAAACAAAGGACAAGAATGTCGACTTGATGCATAAGGTTTCATCCAGTCTGTTTGCACCTTCACTATAGCTCTGCTTTCAAAACACTGTCATAGCCATTCTTTCATTTCAAATCCAATGTCCTGGAGAATACAACAAGCAGTATGAAGAATACATCACTGTGACAATACCAAGAGATTGTAGAAGAATTCTCCAATATTCCTGAAGCTTCTTAGCTCTACAAGCTCTACAAAGCTTCTTAGAAAATGTATGATGACCATGTTTTTTTTATTCTGCAGTTAATGACATTAAAAAGATGTGTGTAAATAAATACTTACAGATGAGAAGACAAGATGCTTTTTCATAGATTGAAGTCTGTCTGTGCTTTTTTATTTTTTTATTTTTTAAAGATTTAGTTTTGGTCTTTTTTTATTCCTTTAATGGATAGATAGGACAGTGGATAGAGCTCTGTGCTTTTGTGGATGATTCTTCTTTCCTGCTGTTTCAGGAGTTTTTGAAAGAATGACAAGTTCCAGGCTCTCCATTTGAATAGCAGAGTTTCTGCCTCGAACATGCAGTTTTATTTTGAGTGAGAGGCTGTTTATGAGCAGGTGGATTTGATGAAGGAGGCTGCGAATTATTGTTCTGAAGGATTAGTGCTAATCTCAGTCTGCCTTATCTTTAAAGGCATAATGGGTTAAAACATAAAAACTTAAAACAGAATGTCTTAAAGATAAAGATAAAGATCAACTTTATTGATCCCCCATGGGGGAAATTTGTGCATTACAGCAGCTCAAGAAAACAGGGGACGGGAAATAATTATTAGAAATAAAAATAGAAGTTAAAAATCAAATCAAACATATTTACATCAGTTAAATAAAAAAATACAATAATGGAAAATTACACAGTAACTTCACTGGAAAGAGTTATTGTTATTAAAAAAAACACACACAATGTGTAGCATTATTGAAATGAGTCATGTTGGTGATGCTGTCAAAGAGTCTGATTAAACAGTCTGACGGCAGATGGAATGAAAGACCTGCGGTAGCGCTCTGTCTTGCAGGGTGGGTGTCTCAGTCTGCTGCTGAAGGAGCTGCTCAGGGTCCCCACAGTGTCATGTAGGGGGTGAGAGGGGTTGTCCATGATGGATGTCAGCTTCACTAACATCCTCCTCTCACCCACCTCCTCTTCAGAGTCCAGAGGACAGTCCAAGACAGAACTGGCCCCTCCTGTCCAGTCTGTTCAGTCTCTTCCTGTCTCTCTCTGTGCTCCCTCCTCCCCAGCAGACCACTGCATAGAAAAGTGCAGACGCCACCACAGTGTCATAAAAAGTCCGTAGCAGAGTCCTGCACACTCCAAAGGACCTCAGTCGCCTCAGCAGGTGCAGTCGACATTGGCCCTTCTTGTACAGATGTCGGTGTTGTGTGACCAGTCCAGTTTATTGTTGAGGTGAACACCCAGGTATTTGTACGTCTCCACCCTCTCGATGTCCAAGCCCTGGATGTTCACCGGTGCAGTCTCGGGTGACTTCCTGCAGAAATCAATCAACATCTCTTTTGTCTTGCTGGCGTTGAGCTGAAGGTGGTTGAGCTCAATCCAGTCGACAAAGTCCATGATGACCTGCCTGTACTCCTGTTCGCTCCCCTTAGACACACACCCCACGGTGGCTGTGTCATCGGAGAACTTCTGCAGGTGGCAGCTGTTTTAAAAACATGCATGTTTTGGAAGAATGTTTTTGTTGAAGAGGTGCCACCAGGTCTGCAACAGGAGAGAAAAACAAATAAAACTTGAATGATTGTGGAGTCACTGGTTATGTAAAAGCTGCAGAGATTTGCAGGTTGGTGAGAGTGATGCAGAGAAAACTTGACATTTACAAAGATTTACAGCTTTAACATTTCAGAGCACAAGACTGACAGCTATTTACACAGTCGAGTGGAACATAATGGAAGGCTCTATTAGCATCTCAGTAGTGAAGAAAAAAAGACCAGTGTAGCGTGTATCAGAAATGAATGTATTACTTGCACCCTCCTTGTGTATTAATGCTCAAACATGAGTCATCTGTTGTGAATGAGTAAAAACACACATGATATCGCACGACAGTACACTTATGTAGATGTTGTGAAATCATGGAAATACAAAGGTATGATTTCACGTGATGGAGAATCTCCTATGTGATATAACCTGGATGTCCTTACATTAATTCAGTCAGTGGTGATAATTAAAATGAGAAAAATTTTGATGGCAGACTGAACATCTAACTATCCATCTGTCATTTTCAAGCTCACTTCACATTAACGTCTGAAAAAAATGAGACTTGATGCTTTTTGTTCCAGTTGAATCATTTAGTGACATCTCCTCTCTGAAGTGGCTCTCGCTTTGTTTCTGTTTGTGAAGATTTAAGATAGAAGTGTAAGAATTCCTTTTCTCCTGCTTGACTTTTCCCATGTGGTACTGTACTGTATGTGCAGCAGCCCTCATGTTTAGCCTGCAGGGAGATCCTGTGACTGTGTGACAGCTGAAGGGAGAGTTGGTGGACAGGAATCAAATATAGGACAAGGATGGGCAACAGAAAAAGATGAGGGGAGGGGGCTGCTGGAATTTGGTTTTGGCTCAGAGCCAGCGTGGTATATGATGCAGTAATTTATGTGACATGTGCTCTTTCCCCTTTCTCAGTTGTACCCTGTACAGCAAGTGAAATATATCAGGCTGTTTAAACTGTAAACACTGGTTTTATATCTGCATGTTTTGCTGATCATTTTACTGCTCTTCACCGGAATGTCCTTTAAAAATGTGTAGAAAGGCACAAAAGACCAAACTGAACTCCTTACCTGTATAAAAACATCACTTCTTAAATTATCAGAGAAACCCAACAAAACCTCCCCAGCACAAATAGTGGACAGATCTTTCAATCTGGGGATGCTTCTGTGGTTTTCTTTGAATGGAACAAGGAAGAGATATTAGAAAATACAGAAAATGATTGCACTTGTTTTTTGAGCACAGTGATGACGTCATGTCACTCCGCCTGTTTGGGTTTATATTGGTAATGAATGGATGTACCTTAAGATTATTTGTATTTACAATTAATATTAACACATTTTCTTGGTTCAATAAGTTAAGATAAAATAAACCTTTATTTATTACACAACAGAATCATTTAAAGTGTTACAGCATCAAAGAGCAAGGAGAGCCAAAAAGAGCACACAGTGCACAATCAAAAAAAAAAAAAAATTATAGATCAGAATAGTTGAGGAGCCAAAAATTAAGCTGCATTGTAACAAATGTAGTCTGTACATTTAGTTATGAGGAAATAACTCAATTTGAACATGTTATTGCACCTGTAGCATCAGATAGTAGTACTGTATATGGCTGATACACTAACTGGCCTATAAAGCATCAAAATGGTTAGAAAATACTCAAACACAGTTATTTCAGTGGAAAAAGGGAACGCTATATCTGTGTGTTGTTGTCCTATCAACCAGTGTTTTGACTATAAAGACTGAGAAGAGATGCTAATTCTCACACATAAGAAGCTAAACCATCACATGTTGGTGCATTATTGCTGATTTAATTGAAATTGTAAATGTTCCTTTGATCTCCTATTTGTTTAAATGGAATATGGTTGCAGCTCTTCTTTAAAAACATGATCACTTTTTACAGATCAGTAAATAGTTTTATTTTAAGGTAAAGTCTTTAGAAAGAGTCTTCTGTGTTAATCTTTATTAAAAGTTCAAAGACAGAAACCTGACTGTAAGCCCTTGTTTCTTTATCAGACAGGATTGTTCAAGTTGTCCGATGACGAGTTTTTTATTCAGCCTCTGGAGAAGACGAACACGAAGACCTCAGCACCTCAGGCTCACGCCATCTACAAACGCCACGCGTCCCCTCCCTCCTTGAGTCCAGGCCCACCACCCAGCTCAGGGAAACAAGCTGTTAATGGTACCTGTGGAGTCCAAAGTAAGTCTTTCTTTTCTCACAATATTCACTTTAGAACTCTGGCAAAACTTGACACTGAGCGTTTTGTTATTTATTTCTTGACACTGGGTAATAACATTCAGTTAGATAGTTGAGAGAATAAATAAGAATGCTGCATTAATATGCTGAGACCGACTGATGAAACTAAAGTTGCTGCAAAATAAAAAGACTTCAGTGCAGTGTTGGTTTTCTCAACATATCTGTACATTAAAGGTGCACTATGTAGTTTTGGTAGAGAAATTTGAAAGTTGGAGAAATGTACAGATTATTTGGCATATGTTCATAACTCTCGACACAAACTGTCCTCAGAGGAAAATTTGGTCCCTGGAACACTGTTTGAAATAAAATGCTACACGAGAATTTATGGTGGTGAGCCCGGACACAGTAACTTTACTGGTAGCTTTTTAGCTCCAAACAGTGCTCCAGAGACCCATTTTTTTCTTTGAGTAATTGTAATTGTAATTCAGTTCTGAAAATGTAGCATAGAATTGTTTCATTTCTCCAACTTTCAAATTTCACAACCAAATCTACACAGTGCACCTTTAAACACATTTGAGAGAATCCTTCACACTCCGGTATTAGATCTTTGTTTTCTTGTGGACACTTTGCTGATGCAGAGTACAAAGTATCAGCTCAGCTCCTGTAGTATGAGTCATTAAGAACTGTGTACATTGATTGGTAGATGGTTCTGTACAGTATAGATGATCACAAAACCAGCGTGCACCTTAAGGAGTGCAAAGAAATGTTTGGACGTTCACATATGGGTGACCATATTCAGGCTGAAACCGAATAATGGAGAAACTCCACGAATGCAGATGCTTTTAAACACTCGAAACAGGATCCTTGAATTGAAATAATGTGACTCAGTTGGAGGGTCTCTGTGTGATTAGAGTGCTCTTCAGAGGCTAGGAGGTTTATATTTCGTTTTTTCTTTACCATCATCCGCATGTGATCTGATGATGTAAAAACACTTGAAAAAAACAAAGCACTCATCTTTAGAAAAAAGGTAGAACATGTTCACAAAACTGTTTTTTCCAAATGTTTTGTCGTCCAGCCTTCTTCAGGAAGTTACAACTTCCTGTAACGCGTTGAAGAAACAGTTTTTTAAACCATGCTACTTATACAGTAGAAAGAAGGCATTTTACCTTTCTAATAAAGGCAGGTGCCTTTGGGCTTTTTACAAGTTTGGCCCTTTCCACTCTTACTTTTCAGAATCCAGTATACACTCTAACAAATAGGATCGGGACAAACTAGATTACAAATGCTCAGATTCCGGTTGTAATACATTTTTCAACCAATGTAATGAAAAATCAAGACGACTGATAATGTCGCCACACTTGGACAAGAAACAGCGAATCTTTTTATTCAGCATGTTCAGCTGGCTGAGCATACAAGTTGGCAATATTGATTTAAAAAAAACATGTAATGCATTTATACTTTAATATTGCAACATCAGTTTTTGTGAACAACTGTAGCTCAATTTCTGTAAAATCAAATGTATATGTCAGAATCACCTGATGGGTATGTGTGTTCAAATGTTATTTAAGGAAAAAAATACCAGACAAACAATTACCCCCGTCTAATTAAGGGAAATGTCACATTTTAAGTCCACATTTGTCTGCAATATTTGCCCACACTGACCCTTATATGTCCTATTCCTATCTTAGCACACATCTTCTTTCACATCTTTAATGGCAAATAAAACAAATTTAATTATCATTATATTTAATAATGACAGTCATCGGATGAGGAACAGTATCATCACATGCACTCAAAGACAGGTAGAGAACAGGTATTATGTTATATATGTAAATCTGTATTTAGATAGGGGTTATTAATAATGGCTGTAAGCTAAAATAAAGTAAGTTAATTGGAGTGTAACTGCTTCATAGAAAGACAAAAAATGAAAAAACTCAGGTCTTCGTTGTACTAGAGAGTGGGCTAAAATCCCTAGCACAGATTTTAGATACATTATGAGGTAAGTTAAATCATTGTTTTATTCTATCATTTAAACACAAAACACTGTTGCAACTATTTAGTTAAGAACAGTTAGAATACTAAAAGGATTGAGGGCATGATGAGGTAAAGGCCTTGGTGCAAGAAAAAAGGACCAAACACAAATGTGTGTGTTTGGCAAATTGAAAGTCAAACCTTGAGTTCATCTCATGCATCTTAATATCCTTTTCTGTCCCCAATCAGCTTATTCCCATCAAAGTGTTGAAGACATTGAGAGAGAGCGGGAGCGATGGGAGCATCGTCAGCAGAGGAGAAGAAAGAGAATTCGTCAACGGTCTGTCAGCAAAGAGAAGTGGGTGGAAACTCTGGTGGTGGCTGACCCGAAAATGGTGGAGCATCATGGGAGCAAAGCTGTGGAGAGTTACATCCTCGCTGTCATGAACATTGTAAGTGTTCAACGTCTACAAGCATCAAAATCAATGTTGGTGTTGTTGAACTTTTATCAACTAATCCAACAATTTTGATCCAGAACCAGCATTCAGATTTAGTTTTTAATGTTGCTTTTTGGGCTGAGGATCAGGTGAGTCTAACTGAACAAAAAACACCTGAAAGTAGGATGAGGGTTAGGGGATTCTACAGTGGCCACATAGGTCAGTGTCTCCATCGCTTTGACAAAACATATGTTGCCTTATTAACAGACCTGTACGTTAACAAAATACAAGCCAACTGAGAAACACATTCACACATTTGACAAAAACACCAGAGTTACAGAAAGACACTAATGAAAATGAAAATCTGTGGAACTGAGACAAAATGTGACATAGGATTTGGGTGAACACCTGAAACAGACCAACAAATCTGAGTGTGTGATTTCTGTGAAAGTGTAGAGTATCATGTTACTTATGTCTGTTTAGCTCTGTAGATTTTCTTTAGTTTTAGCATTTTACTTACTAGAGCATAAACATGAATCCTAATTTAAAGTGTTTACTGTTAAATAAAATAATAGTTTCATAGATCCCTCTTTATACTTTTTTTTTAACTAAATATTATCAAAACAAAGTTTCACTGTGTTTGAACCTCTCCCAAGATGTTTTGAATGATGCAGCTTTTCCCATCCTTGTGTCAAGTAACACTGATTGACTGGATTAAGCTCTTTTCATCTACTTTTTTTTTTTAAAACACGACTCTTCAGATTCCCGTGTTTTTACTACCTCCCAGTTAGAGGTTAAGTACACTGACTCCTTGTCTGTTATTCATTAACACATAACCATTTGTTCCCCCAAAATATACTAATGTGGGCTCAAAGGCCAGCTTCTGAGAGCTCCATCAGAGGACCGACTATCAGGACATGGAATTCACTGACAGAGAAGCTCTCAGATTAACGGACTTATCCAACAATAATACACAGGGGAAGCAGCCATTCTTCCACACATCCTGTCGTGCTCCTTTTTGGGAGTCCTTTACACTCTGGGCTTTGAACTTGAAAGCCCAAAATGTTTAAGTTTTGTAAAAACAATCTTGCAAAGCATCAAGGGAAACAACCTCTAAACCCTTGTCCAAACAATAAGTAATGGAACATCTTCCTCAGCCAGCAGCTGTTCCATTGTCTGAATTCAAACGCCTTTAAGACATCAACGTCACACGAGGTCATATTTTTATATTCTGAGATACTGTTTTCAGCCAGTAGTATGATTCACACACACACACACACACACACACACACACACACACACACACACACACACACACACACACACACACACACACACACACACACACACACACACACACACAGCTCTGACAGCCAATCTCAGAAGCCTATGCATAAAAATAGCTTGCAACTTCCTTTCACATGGTGATCTTATGGTTAGTTATCCATTTTTCTTCAGGGTATTTATAATAACTACATGCTTAAAAACAAACAGGACAAACAAGAAAAGGAAAAAACTGATCTAAAAAAATACTTTTTTACCCTCGAACACTTTGTGTACTGTAGATGTGCAGCATGGAGGAAACAGTAAATCAAAAGTACTGTGTTGTAGAAAATTAGCTCTAAATAGTTTGAGCTCTATTTTTACTCACAAAAACAAACGTTTAAAAAAGAGACCGGAACCATATGTATTGTTCCTGATGGACTTTAAAAAGAAATGTTACTGAGTTCATTCAGCCAGATGATGTTCCCCACAAATATCTGTGAATGAGCACATTTGTGAGAGAACGGACGTAGTTTTGATAAATGAAGTCTTGGGTGTTTTTTTTTTTTCTGAAGTTCAGTCTGACAGCTTGCACAAAAGGTTGAACGTGTAGATGTTTTGCCAAGTAGTGAAGAAATATGAGTGGAAGCTTAAGGGTACTGGGTACTAGTGATTTGTAGGCGAGGAGAAGGATTTATATATGACACAAGACTTGACCGGGAGCCAGTGAAGGAGGATGTGTGTAGTGTGTGTATTGTGTTTCTGCCACAGTGTCTATGATTTATGTTGGGAGTCTGGAGATGTTTTTAAGATGGTAGAAAACAGATTTGTTGATGGATTGGATGTGTGACTTTGAGTGAGAGGGGTGGAGACCTGAATGACACCCAGGTTTCTGACTTCAAAGAGAAGATCTCCAACCTTCCAAAGCAGCGCCTTAACAGCCACAGGCATGAGCTCTGCTTTGTTACTGTTCAGTTTGAGAGGGTTAATGGTTGTCACTTCTGTTTTGTCAATCTTTTTTCTGTTCTTCAACAAACAACCCCGAAATACCTCCTGTCCTCCTTCATGAATCAGTTCTCTGATTTCTCATCTCTGCTCAAGACTACGAGTCAGTGTCAAAGCCATGCACATATTTAAAATGTTCAGTTATTTACACAGTTTGTTTTTATGTGTCATACTTTGTGTGTTAATTAACCAATGGAAGAACATATTAAAGCAATAATCACATTTTAGAAAGAGGACTAATTGTGGTTTTTAAATCATTGACATTAATTGAGCACCTACAGTACGAGGAGCTCAGAGCTGCAGATGACTAAGAGAAGACTTTTTTAATTTGGTTTATGCTTAGTTTCAAATAGAATGAGTGCTGCACAGGTAAAAAAAAATATAGAAAAATTACATGAAGGAATCAGGCGCTCTTCAAGGATACGGGAAAGACGTGAAATTGCAAATACATAAATGACTTTCCAGTTTATTTGCAAACAAAGTTTATGGTGAAAAATTGGCAGTCTGAATTGAAAATCTGAGGTAACCTGTTGTCGTCTGTGATTTGTTTGGATTGTCTTCATGTTATGTGGTTTATATCATTTCAGATTACACTCAAATTGTATTAAAACACCTGGGTCTTATTGTCTATCATGTCCTGATGATGACTCAGTGTAGCCGAAACACATATCTCTATACATCCCTGATGAGTAAAACATTTGTATACTGCCTCAGATTGCCAGTTTTTTCACCATGAACATGCAAGGACTTAAGGTGATGTTGTTACAACAAGCTGTAAGAGCGTCAACCTTTTTGTTTTCTTGGCTTGGTTTTGGTAAAACTCTGAGAATGTGTTGAATGAAATGCTCTTAAAGCTTTGATAAGAAAATGTCAAGGTTGTTGATAAAATACTGAATACAGCTGCTATTCGTGTCTTTGTTTACCTTTTTGAATGACTCGCTTCATCTCGATTGATGCTTAAAAGAAATAATGAAAAAGAAATAAAATGTCCAAACAGAATAGAGGAGTGAAATGTCAAAAGGTTTCTTCATTGTTTTGTTTTGAACACAATCATAAATGTTTTTAAGTTTATGCATTTGCCTTGAAGTGGAAATCAAAGAGTCAGATTAAGAAGTTAGATGTCAGGGAAAGACTGACGTTGCTTTAATACAAAAGTCTTTCTTTTTGAAATAGAAAGGCAAAGATACCAAGTCTGAATGTAAAGATTTGGAAGTTGTCGAATACATTTCTTTTCTTTTTAACTCATATTCTTTTGTGGAAACTTTTTCTGATATATCCGAATGGATGATGAATGACAGCCTCGTGCTATTTCTGGGTCCTTCATCAGTGACTAAAGAACTGTAAAGAAAACTAATTATATGGAGAAATTGTACATCAGCACATATAAACTATTAGAATTACTTTATCTACTGTCTCTTGTTTCACAGTAGGTGGTGACCATATTACCTGTAACTATTTAATGGATTCATTTTTTTCTTTTTACAGGTGGCGAGTTTGTTCAGTGATGCCAGTATTGGAAACGCAATCAACATTGTGGTTGTTCGACTCATCCTGCTGGAGAAGGACGAGGTAAAAATGTCTGGTGTAAACCTGAATCCTCTCTCAGACAAAAACTGTACTCCTCAAATGAGTACGTATTTGGCTGAGACATGTTAATTACATTACATTTTGGGTATTTTGATGCTAAATCATTATAAACCATTAAGATATAAATAATAGTCTGAATTAAACTTCTTTGGATTGTTGACTTCCAACTGCCTGTCGAGAAATTGTTGAACTTCTGATCATTATGTTGACAAAGATAAAGGAAAATGTGCGACTTTTTACACATCAAGTATACCTTATGAAAATGTCTCTCTGAGTTCATGTTTACAATGAATGAGAAAAGTGAGTCCCACTTACTGTGTTGTTGTCAGAGCCTAATTTACATGGATGGGATAGATATAAAAGTTGTTTTAGTCAAGGCCTAAGGAAAGAAGAATGACATACTCTGCTTATTTAGGTGTCACATAAGCATTCTGTGTCAATTTACGTGCAATGTGAAGCTACAAGCTAACTACATGTGCTAACATTAGCATGCTAACACAACAATGCAGGCAAAAGGCTAATGCAGCTCAAGCCGAGGACAGTTTGGTCCACTGCTTGCACTTGACTCCTTCGTGCGAATGCGAGGGGAGGGGAGTTGGAGGTGTGTCGCTACAGGAGATGGGAGGTTTTAGTATGGCGGAGGTGTCGCCAAACCAAAGTTTGTTTTTGTTCAATGCTGGTGCTCAAGGGCGACATCTACTGAATGAAAAAGTTGCACATTCTTCCTTTAAAATCTGCGTGCAAAAACAACTGTTCTTTTTTTTAAAGATTTATATTTGGCCGTTTTGTGCCTTTTTATTGTAGAGATAGGACAGCGGATAGAGTCAGAAATCAGGAGAGAGAGAGAGTGGGGAATGACATACAGGAAAGGAGCCACAGGTCGGATTCGAACCTGGGCTGCCCGCTTGGAGGACCATAGCCTCCTTACATGGGGCGCGTGCACTAACCAATCCAGCGCCCCAAAACAACTATTCTTGAATATGTAATGAGCGATGACTTAAAGGCCATTACCGGGTAAAAAAAAAAAAAAAAAAAAACAGATCAGGAAAAAAAACATCTGAACATAGAGTAGTTCTTTTATTACATTCTCCATCACATATCATCTGTGCTTTCACTTTGATTTGTCAACTTTTGGTGAATAGGATGACTTAAAGATCACACACCACGCTGACAACAGCTTGAACAGCTTCTGTAAGTGGCAGAAGAAACTCAACATGAAAGGAGACGAACACTCGCTGCACCATGACGTGGCTGTTCTCCTCACAAGGTAAATAAAAACCTAATTCTTCTGAATCCTTTATGAACCTGCTCAAAGTCACGTTTAGATTTGACGTCTTTTATCCTCTTTCCTCTTCTGTTTTTGTCTCCCTTTCTCTTCTCCCTTCAGTAAAAAGACCCCATAGAATTAACTGGACTTCCCTAGCAACCATCAGCTTCTCTTAGTAACGGTTTATTCTTCTTAACAACAGTGTTGTGTTGAGGGATAGCAGATGCCTAATTGACCAATTAGATTCAAGTATTTTAACACAGCTGTGTAATAAATTATATTTACATATGAGAATACATGTATCAAATTGTTTCCCTTTCAAATGTGAAAAAATGTAGAAATTCAGATATTTATAAATCACTTAACATTAACTGTTAGATTTAGAAATATAAATGCAGGCTAGAATTCACATTAGTAAGATGAATGATGAACCAATATTACATATTATGTGAGTGTTTCTGTGTTTATGCTGTTGCTTACCACCCCACACCCCTCCCCCCCCAGACACTACCGCTACATTTAATCGATCACTTCTTTTCTTCAGCTTGTCAATTGTTGATTATGTTGCCCTACTTTCTCTTTTCACAGGAAGGACATCTGTGCATCCATCAACATTCCCTGTGAGACTCTGGGTCTGTCACATATAGCGGGCATGTGTCAGTCACATCGCAGCTGCAGCATTAGTGAGGACACCGGCCTCCCTTTGGCCTTCACTGTAGCCCATGAGCTAGGACACAAGTAAGCTTTCACTGCACACTTCACATGTTCAGACAGTCAGGAGGAGACATTCAGGGTTAAACACTTGAGATTTACTAAAGCAGCAGCCTTTAACTTAGACTGGTGTTTACTTGTTTCTGCAAGGCACAAATGCAGTTCACATCTCAAAGACCGACTTCGCTAAGTTGTCATACTTTACCTTGATATAGGACAAAACAAAACAAAATTAAACCTTTTTCTTTCTTAAGAGGAAAGTGTGTTTTTTTTCTGACTGAATTGAGAGTTGCTTTTATTCAGCTCTTAGTTTTATTAGAGCACAGGCCCACTTTTCTTTTGACACAGCATTCTTCAGTTCATTTGGGATTGGCTTTTAAATAACTTCACTGTAGACAATGGACAGTTTTGTTTCTTCTTCTTTTTGTGTATTGTCACTTTTTTTCAATTTGCCGGGTCTACTTGTTCAAAGACTTCTCCTCTTATCTTCTCTGTGGGTGTGAAACTCCATCACAGCAAAAGAGGGAATGCGGTTGTTGCTGTAAACAGAGGAAAATAGACTTTCTGTATCAAAGAGTTAAATTTATCACGTTGTTGTTCTGATTTCCCCGTCTGTCCATCAAGATTTCGACATTGACATTTTTTAATCTGCAGTAACGTATTCATTGAACTTCTTTATCGAAGAACTCCCTTCAAAGGTGTTGGCACAGTCTCCTTATAATTAGCAGGCCACCCTCTTTAACAATCATTCTTTCAGCCTTTTAATAAGTAATTCAACAATTAGTGCTTAAGTGTTTTTTTTTTTTGTGAATTATAAGACTTGGTAATCAAAAGGAGAAATAGTATTTGTGCCACGTGCTGGAAAAAACTAGGAGGTGGACCCAATTGCGGATATAAAGAAGAATTATTTATTTAAATCAAAAAGGCAAAACAAAAACTCAATATAGAAACAAAGTCCAAAACTTGGAATACAGAGCCACAAGGGAAAGACAACGAACGACCACAAGGATACTCTGACAAACACACCGACATAACTACAATGAACTGACAACGAGAGGGAAAGGAACACTGAGAGGACGGGGGTAATCAAACACAGGTGAGGACAATCAGGGCAATCAAGGCTGGAGGGAAACCCTCCACAGGCAGGGAGAAAACACAAGAGAAGAAACACTGAGGACAATACAAAATACATCACGAAACACTGAAGACACAGAGAAGTCACCGTAAACAATACACTAGAACATAGAACACTGGGAGAAGAAATGACCAAATACAACAGGAAACACTAAAGACTAAACTATGAAACATTAAGACGAAAACACACAAGGGAAACAAGCAACACTAGGATAAATAACCACAAGGAAACCTAGGCAATTTGAATGAACAGAAACAGAAATGCTTTCTCAGAATAGATATAATATTCCAAAGATAATTTAATTCTTGCAAGTATGAAAGAATGGAGGTGAATTTGGAAAGTGAAAAAAAAAAAATCAGCAATTGTCATGCTTGTTATCGTCGTCAGTGGGGTAATAAGGGTTAATACAGAGAGCAATCATTCTGTCACATTGATCTCTCGCCTCATTTTTGATGGACTGCATCTGCCACAATGTGATAGCAGAAGTTATCTTGAGCATTTTACGAGCAGATTGTGTAAAATATGAAGCACTTCTACACTCCCATGTGTTTCATCACAGTTTGAATGTTCTCAGATTAAAATGTCATGTTGAAATATTCCTTTGATTATTATTATTTTGACTGTCAAAGCAAGTTGCTCTTCTCTGGGAGTCTTCAATATTTTAACTTTTATTCCAAACCATAAATCTCTTTCATAATGTCGGAGAAAATGCACTAGAACTTTTTCACACTCCCTGTTTTGTTTTTCATTGCAGCTGACTCAACATTTTTATTTGAATTCTCAACACACCCACAGGAGGCTTTTGAGAGAAACACTTAAAGGCAGGGTTGGTAATTTAAAAAAAACTAGCATGATTTCGAAAGTAGCATTCTCTCAGTGCTCCGTCTACACCCACCCCCTCCCCTCTGTGCTCCCTCAAAAGCCACACCCCTCACTTACCTGCACAAACGGCATTAGTCCAGAAGCAGACCTCGGCTCATGTTTTGAGTGTGGGCTCTTCATGGGGTGAAGAACGAGCAAGGAGCCCTGACTGGTTCATCAGATTGGTACCTCATGGCAGACATTGGTCGAAGTCTTTACATGCTACAGATGACAGATTTTCTTTGTTCCTTTTTCAGAGCACATGAGTTATTAATTTCTCTCAGGACCTAAAGACAGTTGAAACCAAAATCTTAAAAAATGTATCCAGAGAAAATTACCAAACCTGCCTTTAAAGTAAAAATAAAGATAATTAAAATGATAATAGAAAGATAAATAATGACAGAATACATTAAGAATACAATGACAAAAGAGGAGCAATGTATTCATGAATGACATACATGTGTGAGCTATAAAACAATACAGGAATAAAACAAAGGCAACATGATCCGACAATAAGCCAGTTGTAAGCTATCACTTGAACACTGTTGTTCTGATTTGAGCCATTGTTTGCGTCCTCTGTTGAAAGCGTTACTGTTGCTCTCCAGTTTTAAGCTGGTAGGTAGAAGTTTTACCCACTTTGCGGAGAAGGCAGACTGACCAGAAGAGGTCTTATACATGGGGACAGGCGTTGAACATGAGAATGGTCGACCGAGGGAATTACGTAGCTTTGTCAGTGATGTCTGAGGCTCCTATACTTCATCGACCCGTTTATATCAACATGCCTTTTGCATTTAGAATAACATCCGCCTCAGAATAACTCAACTGGACATCAATCAATTTATTATAGCGTGTTTATTAATAGCTTAATTGCTGTTGTGGCCCTTCAAAAGTTCCTTTCAATCCTCCTTTTACTTTATTCTACAGCACCTCTGTGTGGATGGCAGCTCGCCCTTTCTGACACTTTATGTTCATGGTTCTTTCAACTATAGCTTAATGCATAAACATGAGCTGGATTGACAGGAGTCTCTTGTGTATATAGGCTTCCAAGCAGTACTCCCTTTAAAGAAAAACACATTTTATTGTAGCTGCAACGGTGGATTGACATCATTAGCATTCAAGTGTAACAGTTCAGGTAGGGGGTGTGTGACGTTTTGTTACCTTGTTTAGTTCAGGCCCTTGTTTTTATCCTTTGAATAGTTGCTGCATGAATCATACAGAATGTCTCCTCTTGATTTACTACTAAAGATAAACATTGAAAGTATGTTTTTAAGATGTGATTTTAATTTTTGTCTTGACATTATCATTATTCCTGTCTGTCTATATGTGCTGCCACTGACATGAGCTGCTCAAACTGTTTTTTGTTTTTGTTCTTAAAGCGATGTCATAGAGCTATTCTATGACAAACCTTGCAGCTTGTATTGTTGATGAACTCATTGATTTACTAAAACTGGTGATGCTGGGCTTAGGAGAGCAAGTGTATTTTTTTTTTTTACACTGTGAAACAAACTTTGACTGAGCATAGAGTTTCAAGTTATTTGATCAGACGTAACCTTTTTTTAGTTTGAAAAAAAAAAGCACAGTAAATAGTGGACATGTTGACCCTCAAATCTTATAATAAGAAGAGGTCACATGAATGAAATTTACTTCAATCATGAATTTGACCTTCTGCCCCCTTGAGTTTTAAGTGTCAGATTAGTTTGCTCAACTCTCTTCTCATCCCCAAATCCATCAGGTTTGTTTTTGAAATATGATATGCAAACTCTTATTTTGTTAATGCAATCATTATTTTTTAAATAGGGGACTGATGTTTTTTTTATTTTTTTTTTTTTTTTTAAATCCATGATGAAAAGCACTATTCACTGTACTGGGGGATTGGCTTATTTGTAATCAGCATTTAGCTGCCATTTGTAGAAATGTTCTGAAGGTGACTGCTTTCCCCTGCAGCTGTTATCCTTGCTGAGCTCGCAGCGTTTGAAGTGCATCATGTGTTCCATGATTTGAGGACATAAGCAGTGTGTAATTAGCAGGGAATTGCTCATAAGTTCATAAGCGATTGACAGCGTTGACTTTGTGTACCTTTATCGCTGCTGTGCACAGGTTGCCTTCACATCGTAGATCAACACTGCTGCACACACATCAGAATAGATTCATTCAAATGCTTTTTAAGAATATACTGTACATGCTGTGCAGACCAATGTATTTGTTTTGTTCCCTTTTAACCATGTTGTGCCCACTCACTTTCATCTCTCTCTCTGTGTGTGGGATGTGCTTTTATGTCACAGCTTTGGGATTCAGCATGATGGCAACGGTAATGACTGTGAACCCATTGGGAAACGCCCTTTCGTCATGTCTCCACAGCTCCTGTACGGCACCTCACTGCCCAGGTGGTCACGCTGCAGCCGCCAGTACATCACCCGCTTTCTGGAGTGAGTGCCACACATGATGCACAAATACACTGCTTTCAGTTTGTGACACTGACTCAGTTTGTGTTTTTTAGATTCAAGTTTACTGCTCCTACAATTTTTGAAATGCACTTTCTTTACATGTATACTGTATAAAGGAGCAGACAATGTTGGGAGGTTTTCAATTGATGAATTCTATTCAGTAAGAAGATCTTTGTAGGAATGTGTCCTTGACTCAAAAAACATTTTAGTTTGGGGCACTCTATTGGATCATGGTCATGAATCACAAGAAAATCTCCAAGGCATCCTTTTCTTACATGATTAAAATGCCTTCATTCTCACAGTTGGTCATGTAGACCTAATAAAAAACCTGTCTTATCAGAAGCACGATAGTTCACAAGTAAGTTTTTCTCAAACAAGGAATTTGCCCTGAGAAATTGTTGCATAACCCTTAACAAAGAAACGGGCAAAAAAGTGATCAAATGAATTTAAAAAAATCACTGTAAGGAAAGAATACTGAATAAAACAAGTATTCAAGAAAACAAAATCACTTTATAAAATACAACAGATGGCCAGTTTAGTGCAAGAATGTGCAAACAGTACTTTATTCAAAACATATTTTTAGTTTGCAAGAAAAAAAACCCTGATTGGTGTGTTAGTGTGACACTCTGAGTCAGATGTGTTGCGGAGAGGGGGAGGGCCTTAAGGCTTGATATCAATGTGGTCTGATCGCCTTATTAATCAAGCAGTGATGAAAGCTTTTCATACTGAGGCTTACAAAATATCAGTTCAGGTCACAATTAAGTGTTTGTATAATTGACATAGGATGTGCATCGTGCAAGACAAATTTGATGTTTCATGATTTATAGCTAGGCATGCATCAGGCAAATACTTTTCTCCTGATATAGACCAGGCTCTCCGCCGACATCAGGCAAAAACTCAAAACCATCGCTCTCTGTGCAAGACGGTCACCAAGCTGAACCAAGTCAGAGGCCAAAGCCCCTTTTCGACCGCATGAACTTTCCCCCAGAACTAGAGATTTTTCGAGGAGCTAAGTGCATTTCAACCACAGGAACCAGGGTCTACATATAATTTAGTTCTGGGGTAAAAGACCTACCCCTTAAAAAAAGACCCTGTTAGGAGGGTAGTACTTTCTAAAGGTCCAGGGACTTTGGGGGCCAGGGTATGCAGCGCTGAATGTCTCTGATTGGTCAGGCACAGAGGTTGTCCAAATTAGATTTTTTTACAAACAAAATCATGATAACACCCTTACTAGATGTTTAGACGAAGGTCGTTTGTTAACAGCAACAACTGTGAGAAGGTTTATTCTGTTGGGATACGATCCATGAAAACAATTGAAACAGCTATAAACCTTATTTACAGCAATGTTTCACTTTTTTGTGAGGGTGCTGGGTGGGTGGGGGTCCTAGCTTTTTTTGCATACAAGAAGGGGGGCTCCAAGGTGAAAAGGTTGGGAACCACTGCTTTAAACTAATGGTTAAGCAGTTAGAAGTACTCCACCAGACTTCAGAGAGAAGCAGCCCCATGCGTTTAAACTCTTTTGAATTGATGTAATGGAAGCAATACAAAAAGCAAATACGATAATTCATTTTTAATTAAAGTGTCATTCATTTTAAACAGCTTAAGTAGTCTACATGTCTTTCTCACTTACTGTATTGATGCCTCAGTTAGATAAAAATACTACATGTCTGAATATTTGTCTATATCTATCTGCAGCAAAGCGTGTGAGTGTCTGTCATCTATACAGTCAGCTGCTGCTGTCAAAGGCGTGCACTGTGTTTCTGGCTTCAACATGACGTGTGTTGAATGTCTGAAATAGTTCACTGTAGTTGCCCCAGTTTCTCAGTGCCAAGCATCTGGAATCCATTTAGTGGGTGTTCAGCTCCTCGACAGCATTGTAGCTTCCTGACTTCACTGTCAGAAAAACAAGGGCCGAAGGGGCGGTATTTACACTGGTGGGAGTACGCTTCACAAAGGCTACTGGTTTGTGTGTGTGTTTGGGACTGTGTGTGGTTCTGTGTATGTGTGTTTCAGTGTCTGTAATTAATAAAGGATACAGAGAAAAATACCTCAGCACATACACCATTTTGTACGCATTTCTAAGTAAGGTTGTATCAAAAGGACCCTGCCTGATTGCACTAACGAGGACTTATTGATAGATTTTTTGCTTGGCGTGGCTTTCAAAGTATACATTGATAAGATTTTAATCAGATTTCTCTGTCGTCAGTATTCCTCTAGGCAACTCAAAAGGCCAGGTCCAGATTTTTTGGCTTAATTAAAAAATAGTTGAAAAGTTTCACACAAGTTTAGGACAGAAGGGGCTACAGACAGACAGAGACAGGACTGCCAGCTTGGCATGTGATGATTTTACGATATTAACTATCTACAATAGTGTGAAATATTCCCATAAGCATATTTGTCACTTGTCAAAATCAAGTAAAAGAAATGCAGTTAGCTTTAAGATACTTAGTGTTATTTGATAAATGTATGGAATATAATTAGGGCCTGATCGATTTGGGATTTTTGGGGCCGATATGTGATAAAGATACATACAGATATATAGGGTATACACACATTTATTGAGTTGTTCCCTCAAATGATGTTACAGACACTTAGGGAAAAGATATATAATTATAAAAAAGACAGGTTTTTTTTTTTTTTACAGTTGAACAAAATTCTTTATTGGCCAGAATAAAAACAGTGCTTTGAAAGACTAGTTTCACTTAGAAATGAACAGTTATAACAAAAAAATACATATATGTACTGTAAATAAACAATAAACAATAACCTTCAGTTGACTAAACCTAGTTATATTGGCACGTATCGGAGCTAAAATTAGCCAATACCAATAGTCAAGTCACATGCTGCCGATTAGTCGGTCAGGCTCTTATTATATTGTCTCTTAACTCATCTTTAATCTCTTATAGCTAACAGTTGTGAGTCCAATTAGAACCTTTTGGACAGTATTTGACTCATTGCCATTAAATGTAGTTCAGAAAGCTCAGTCGCTGATTTTCCCAAGAGTTGGTCCCCCTCACTGTTCTCTGTGTATGGGATAATGCAATATGCAGTTGAAGACGTGTTGATTTGTAAAAGAAAGATGTAAAACATGCTAAACATCAGCATGTCAGCATTCAACAGAAGTAAATCCTCAACAAGGCTGGTGACTGCTAGTCTTGTGTCCTGGTGCATTTATGAATATTATACAGCTCATTTGTCTCCTGGAGTCCCACATTAAACAAAAAGCTTGACTCAATTTAAATGTCTAAGTCTGCCTTCATAAACTCGAGTTTATCAGATTGTGGTCAGAAATAATTCTTCATGTATTAAGGTTGAAATAAATCACATTTAATTTGGAAGAGATGATATTTTTAAGGAAGAGATATCAAGTTAATATGTGTTCTGCCCACCAGCGTCCTCCACTTACAGCCAGTCAATCCAAAACCACTGAATGTGCTCTGATCATTTTCTTCACAAGAGACTTGACTGCTGATATGTATCTATATCTGTCTTCTAAATGCCAGCGCTGTAATCCACTTCCTCTGTTTTACCTTGTTCTCTGGCCGCAGGACAAGGCGTCTATTGTGTATGCTGTCCCGCCAGCCTCTGCGGCTCACGCTGCTTCAGAAGGTTTTCTCTGTAGGTGTTATTTTATGTGGAATGTAGAAGGTCATCCAGCTAAGTGGTGAAGATATTATCACATAGATGAAACACTCAGAAAACACAATCACTTTTTCCTCTTCAGATGCAAATTCTGGTGAGGCTTAAGAGGCCGAGTTGGAGAAATATAAAATAATTTTCCTTTAATTTGTGCAAAAAGCTAGAGCCTGACGATATCTCACACATAACATGGATGATCCCAATTCATACATTGATGGTATGTTTGCTTTGATGTTAAAGGATTCTGGAAACAGTCAATTGATATGCATACACATTTCCAGGAAAGCTGGCTTCAACAAAGGCTGTAGGAACTCAGAGCTGCTTTTCAGTACAGAGGCACTCATGGAGAACATTTTAATTGCTGCTGTTCTGTTGTCGGTGTGAGGTGACCTCAGATCAATCATTGTGTTGTTGAGTCTGAAACAATCATCCTGTGAATCATTTGAACTGATGTGTCTGTATTAACAATTGTAAAGGTCGCACATGGGAGTTAAACATTTGAACATGACGAAATGTACTGGAGAGTGTAAGGTTAAAATAGTTAAAAGTAAAACAGATTTTTTGCATTGGAAAGACTTTGCTCAACATTTAATAACGTGTGATTTAAAAATCACAAAGAAATTGAAGCTACTTCTGTCATTTCATAGCTACAATGGATGAATTTACTTACTACTTTACTTGTGTTTTTGTCACAATAAGCAAACCCTATCTCACTGAACAAAAGATCATCACCTGACTGCAGTTTGCATCACTTCTGCAGATTTTTCTTCCCGTTTGAGCATCTTTCAGATTGTTGTTTTGGTTTGCAAACCTCTTGACTGTTTGGCTCACTCTTACCGTTGTTTTTAATAAAACTACTCTTATAAACTCACAGTACAGTACCCATCCATAACCAAGCAGCGTAAAGAGGACTGAAACGTACCTTTAACATATGCATTTCTTCAAATCTGCTTTGTATGATGACATAACGTTATTTCTACAGCTTGTTGTTCTGCCTCTAAAAGGCAAAGACCAGGCAATAGAAAATCCAGTGCAGGCTGTACGGTAGTGGATTTACAATGTTTTGCATACCTCTAGATGGAGAAGTTATGAGATCGCACATTTTGTATGCAATGTCTTTTTTTAATCCGATGCTATTTTTTTTACCACAGGAAACACATAAGGTAAACATCCTGAGCAAAATATTTACATCTTGTTAACAGCTGCAAAGCCCACATGATTTTTTTTTCTATTTTCTTTTCTTGTCACAGTATAGAGTTATTTAATCGTAGCCGCATCACTGACAGACCTCACATTGATGGTGCTATCTCTATGTTAATTTAGTGCAAAAGCCATCTACACATTGAGGTTATTCTCCATTATATCTGTGCCCATTTTTCCTCTCAGGTTCTCAGGGCAGAATGTCAATCGGCGGCTCTTTGCACATGTCCGCTTCACTCAGACTCATTAAACCTCAATTTTTCCTGATAATATAAGACTAACATGGTAACCATGTCTGCTCATTTGTCTTCATCACGTCACTGAGGACTGTCAATTTCATCTCCAATATATTGTATTTTTGACTTTAAAAAAATGAACAACTTTCCACATTTCAACTCTGAGCATGCCACTCTGTGACAACTTGGACGGATACAGTAGGGTTACATATGCGTTTGAAATTCATATCATAAAGAATACATTTATTACATGTTGAAAGGCTCATCATGATCTCATCAAAATTCACTTTATTGAGATTTAGACGCCAGCATGAAACAATCAAATGATTAATCTCTAGGTCAAAGATTTGATTCCTGTTTATGACAAATTCAATATTTCACATTTTGAGACATTTGACAACAGGAGATGAAGGCATCTTTCTAAGTGTATTCTCTTTCTTTGTTGATTTCACTGCTGCCTTGCCGTTTTGTCACCTGTATGAACTGATACATCAGCGACTTTCCAGAGGACATTTTTTCTCATCTGCTTTCATAAAACATGCACTTTGCGAATCTGTGTTCATTAAACTGAGTTATTTCCCTTGACTTCTCCGGTCTCTTTGAGGTAATACAGTGGTGATAAACCTGTAAGGAGCACATTATTTTTGTGCTGCATTCAGAACCATCGTGACTGATGGAGTTAAGTGTAACTGGCCATGCTAATGGAAGGACGTAATGAGACACTTAATAAAGAATGAAATGATGCTCTTTGCTGTACTCCATGAACTGGAGGTCGCTTAAATGGTAATTCTTGACATTTTTCCTGAAGCTAATGTCAAAACCAATTTCAGACCGTGTCAGTCCAACTACCCATGCTTCCACTGTCTGTTAAACTATTTTCACTTTAACACTCCTGCAGAACTAATGACTGTGTCACCTATGAATATCTATGAAAAAAAACTTTATTTGGCAGGGACAGATGCAGTACACATGGAGAACTGAACAACAATTTTACAATGCACTGCACCACAGCATTTATAGATAATACTGATGTCCAATATCTGTCCCTCAAAAAGGCTTTCAATATAAAATAAATAACATATATGATGGAAAAAAATATGGACAACATACAGCAGAAAAAAGCTGACCTACCCACCCACATACATATACAGTAAATAAATCAGGTTCCAGATTAGGCTGCATATTAAAAAAAAAGGGGGATAACGTCAATGTAGACAGAATTGCAAACCTTTCAGGCATTACAGTATAAGGATCTTTTATTGCTCATCCCCTCGTGTATTAAAGTTGTTTAATTGAGGGACTAGAGAAAAGAAGAATAATATACTGTACTCACTGCTTAACTGCGTTTCTAGATCACTGTCATTTCAGGTAAATTTACATGCAGTGTGAAGATACAAGCATAATAAAGATCACTAGCATTCGCATGCTAACACAGCAATGCACCGCGAGTTGTTTTGGTTTCATGCTGGTGCTCAAGGGCGACATCTGCTGGATGAAAAAATCCTTTAAGGAGTGACCTGAAGATGATCTGTTTGAAAACGAGTGCTTCAGCTGAGCGTGTTTAATTCACAAATGTAACATCACTGCACTTGATGTAAAGGGTAATTACTTATTCTGTGCAGGTGTAGGTATTAACATGCTCTGTCAATTTGGACAGAATCTTGTTACCCTTAATTCTCAAAGCTCCTTCAGTTTCTGCTTGTAGAAAAGCATCTCTGATGTTGATTTCATCTATGTGTATATCAAGAGACTTAACCAGATTCTCCCCCCTGACAGTCGCGGCTGGGGCTGGTGCCTTGATGATGCCCCAGTGAAGGATAAGCTGTCTCTGAACTCAGTGCTTCCTGGGGTTCTGTACAGCGCCGCTCATCAGTGCCGGCTGCAGTATGGATCTGGGTCAGTGCTCTGCGATGACATGGACGTAAGTCTCTATTTAACAAGTACTTCATGATATAGCAAATCCACACAAAGACATGTACAACTGATTGAACAGAATGTGCCACTTATCCTTCACACCACCTCTCGCTATTCTTAATTGGACTTGCATTGCTTCTTTTATATCATAACATGTTTCTTTTTATCACCACAACTTCCTCCAATGTTCCCAGAGCTTATCATGATGTCAGCACTGTAAATGTTCAAACTTCCCCTGAGCTTCTATTGTTAATGAACTGAACTTACTTTAAATCATTTGTCCGCAGCTTCAATAATCTTTAACAACAAAGTAGGGCTGCAGAAATGTCACCTCAAATAGCAAATCATAACAGGCTGTTTCTGTGTCTGTAGCTTTAAACGTAAATGCGCTGTGTTTGACCACGCCCCTTTCTGAAAGGGTATGAGGCTTGGGCTTTTTTGCACCATGTCGTATTGTTCACAGTGAGAAGGTGGACTTAGAGGGCAGCACAAACTCCTAGCTGTGGGAGTGTCACCCACCTGGGGGAGGGGTTACTACCCTTTGTGATGTCATGAAGGGAAAATATCCCAACAGCCTGTTTGAGCACACATTTTCTGAAAAGTGGAGCAGGCAAAAGACGGAGGAGGATGAACTTTTCTCATAAATTGGGGGGTTTGTATTATTTTAAAAATGTGTTTTTGGCATGAATAAATAAAGATTATAGATAACAGTACTGTGTTTTTATAATTCTGAAAATGTTAGTAAATGAAGCACAACATTGCCTTTGAAAAAAAAAAAGTGTTACAATTAATAAGAACTAGTTTTAGCGATATGACATGTTCTCTGATCTCGATGAAGGCACGTTGTTGACAGCTGTCCCAAACAGCCACTCTCAGAGGCAGAGTGAAGAGCCAGCTGTCTTGCAGAGGGAGAAGAAATTATACCGTTTGGCTGTCTTTGAAAGCGTACAAAGAGTTTCTCTTGTTGTTTACATGAAAAGTGACAGAAAAAGTTGTGTCAAGAATAAAAAAAGAGCAAGAGAGCATGTTGACAGTGTTTCCCTTCTCAACTTTTTGACAGCTTTTTAAAAGATTGAGGCTTTTACAGGAAGGAAGTTTTGCGCTGGGATTTTTGTGCCTCAGCATTTGCATTTCACATTTGATTAATTCATCTAAAGCTGTTCATTTAAAGTTTTAAAATGTCTCTTTATCATGGACAGGAGAAACTATAAATAATTTAGCAACAACAGCTGCCAGACAGAGACCACACACATCCATTTTTTCACAAGCAATGCATTTCCTGAAATTAGCAGCATGATATGCCTATTAACACAAATTTTCACAGTGTGTGTATGTATTAATAGTACACACGGGATGGGAAACGGCTGTGGGATACTTACACCTCTAAAACACCATCTTCCTTTTGTTTTAACTAAGACATGAATGCTCGTGTCTGCTTTTTTAGCATGTTCAACAACTGTTCAGAGTTGAAGGTACAGTATTTATTTAACAAATATTATCAAACTAAAATGTATACAAAGGTTTTGTCTGTATCTTGGGCAGCAAACAAAGGCCTCTTTGTTCACCTTTGCGTTCCCTACAGTCAACAGCAACATGGGACTGATTAGCCTCATTCTAGATGAAAAACAATAATTATGAGTCGTCATGTGCTCGTTATTTTAGACACGACATGCAACAAAGGGACTTGCTCATGAAGCTCCATGATGCCATGAACAAAAACTCAAAAGGATTTAATAATCACAGCATTGTGAAGTCGTTACATGTCCTCTACACGCTGTAAAAATAACCTTTCTGCTTTGTAACATTAAAGAAAACACCTCAACCCCCAAACACATGAGCATAGACACATTATATACAGTATAAGATATAAAATATACATAGTCGTCACGGCAAACACAACCCAGGGATTATCGTAGTAGGAGGAGGGCTGTGGTGAAGTTGGGTGATACTCTTTCAGATTGGGGATCTGAGAGGTTCCTCTATTTATTTGTAATTTGTTCTGAAATGAGCCACATCCAGAGGAAGCTGAAAGGGACAATTCCCAAGAAATCTCCTAACAGGGGTGGAACAGCAGGTGGTCAGGGAGATCAGAGTCAGGTTGTCAGCTCTACAGATGTGTTTGAATGTCACACTCCACGTGAAATATAACAGACCAATGCTTCTGGGACCAGTGCATCATTGTGACCTTTCCCATTCTTCTTTGGAAGTAAATCTCTACACTGAGAATCAATACTGTATTTCTTTTGAGCCCCTCTCTTGGTGTCGTCAGTGACAGAAGTTGCAGGTTAATGTTAGGAAAAAGAAGAGGTATGCTGAACCTGCTCAGTGTTCAGAGTAAATTATAAAATTCTTAAAAATGCATAAAGTCAGTCCTCACAACTCAAAAATTATCTAAATGTACAGTTCATGGTAAAATATTATATATTTTTCGCATATGCATTACAAATGTCAAGCAAGAGTTAAAATAATGGAAAAAGACCATTTCAAAAATCCAGAAGGTTAATGATCAATCAAGGATACAGCCGACCTTTTGGTGGTATCAGACTTTACACACACACATGCATGCACACACACTGTCACACACTAAAAACACACAGATTTGACTGCTGTAAAATCAAAGTAAACATGGTTTCATAATCAATAAGGCTGTTGTCTGTTAAAGCCCTCACATTCTCAATGAGTTCTGAATCTGAAGGCGGATTTTTATTTTCTCTTTACCTTCAGACAGAGCCAGTGTGTCCCTTGGTTTCTAAATAAACTGAAGCTAATGGGCTTCTAGTTTTATCCTCATATTTAGTTGAGATATATATGAGTTGTAGTTGCCCTCCAACCAAATACAGTTTCAATGATTTACCTGCACATTTCATTTATAAGAAATGGTTTTGAAAATGACCAAAGTCCAACATTATGTAGGAATGAATGTTCACTGGATAGCAGGATTAGCTTTTCAGTACATACTGTTAGAGCATATTATTTTATATATAACATTCATACAGTGAAGATTTATAGATGGGGATGTACACAGTAGTCCTTGGTGGATCGCTCCATCCTGTAAACCTTATCTGAAGGGCTGTAACTAAAGAGACGACATGTTTTTCATACAGAGCCTGAACAAACAATCGGCTTTGCGGGTGAGCGTGTTCTTCATCCATCAGTGTTGCTGACCTCCTCCTCTCCCGGCATTACTGCTGAATTCAATTTAATTAGACAAGTATTGCAAATAAGCCTTGGGAAATGGCTTGTATAGAAACAGGAGAATAATATTCAAATGCAAGCTGTATGGTGCCGGTCCTTGAAGAACATTTACTGCATGAAATGCCAGTCCCCATATTAAAGGGGTCATATTCTGCTTTTTCTGGTTTTATATGCTCTTTAGTGTGTTTTCCATGTGTCCTGTGCATGTTTAGGCACATCTATTTGCAAAAATTCAAAATCCACAGAAACGCGGCTTCTCCTACGTCCTCCTGCTGCTGCAACATTAACTGCATGTAATGCTCGGTTCTAGCCCCCCTCGAAATTTTTTTGCCAGTGTGACGTCTTGTCAGTGTGAGATCAGTGATTTAAGCCCATTGGCTCGTTGTGGCAAGCCCAGCAGCTCATGTTGCACGCCCGTTAACTTCTGTAGCACGCCCACGATATGCCGTAGCCTGTGGTAGCACAGTAGTGCTAAGGTGCTAATGTTTTTGCTCTCCTCTGAGCCAAAGTGGCTGAGCGACTGACCAATTACGGCAGAGCTGACAGGCCGGCCAATCAGATCAGACTTGGCACACGTGGGGACTCTGAACGTGGCACTTCAGAGCCTTAGATAGAGTCGGTGCATGGAGCGGCAGTACATGAAAACAGACACTTTTTTTTTTTACTTTAGCTATTGTGAACATACTTTAGTAGGTACATAGATTAAATATACGAACCCAAAAAGGGCGTAATATGACCTCTTTAACTCACTGTAGGGCACTTAACATTGTTATAGATAAATATAATGTAATAATATATGAAGCATTCTTTGTCCTTCCATTTTTCACTTCACATCCAATATAGTGGTTAACCCTCCTTCATAAAATACTGTTAATTATTGTTTTATTTACAAAACATTTATTATTTTTATGCTATATATCTGTTTGTTTACATTGAAGAACTTTAGAAATTGAAATCCTAGAAAAATCATGTTTGAAAGGTAAACAGCTTGTTGAGCTAAGACGCTGGTCTCCCTCTGTTTTCCTAGAACGTGTGTGGCACACTCTGGTGCACTGTGGGAACGACCTGCCACTCAAAGCTGGATGGAGCTGTAGACGGGACCAGCTGTGGAGAGGACAAGGTGAGTCTTCATCTCATGAGAACTGAAATATGAGAATGGAGAGCTTGATGAAAATGCTGATTTTGTTTTTAACAATCACCAGTGTTTGATTTCTTAACACAGCATTTTTTATAGTCTTTTAACTATTGTGGTCAATTTCAAAGTGTGAAGAGAGGACTCCAAATACCTTAAAAAACTAAAACAGTGAATGTATTGGTAATAATCATATTGAATTTTGACAGTCATGTGGCAGAATGAAGGACTTTCGTACCTTCATTAAATAGTTAGATACCTAGTTTGAATAATTAACAAGCAGCTCTCAGGAGAAAACTCAACAACTATTAAAAGAAATGAAATCGTTTGACAACTCAAAGGGCTATTTAAGATTAAAAGGACAGTGCAAAGAAAAACATTACTAAGTCTAATAGAGAGATTAAGTGGGGCCGGTTATATCTGTATTTCTGACAAAAATGAAAATACAAGAAATAATATGATGAGGTTAGGATGAAACTTAAAGTATTTGTTTGTACGATTGTTCATGAAAACTTTGCTGGTTTTTTACAGTGGTGTATCAGAGGGGAGTGTGTAGCAGTTGGATATGAACCAGAAAGTGTGAATGGAGGCTGGGCATCGTGGAGCGAGTGGTCGGCATGCTCCAGGACGTGTGGAGCCGGAGTCCAGAGTGCCCATAGAGACTGTGATAACCCAGTGTGAGTATGTGTGTGTTTAACCAGTATCGCTGTGGGCAGTCCCCTCACTAGTTCCATTAGTGCATGTCCATAGGATCCTGTTTGTGCATGTGTGTGTATTTCTGCCTATGTGTGTGTAGCGTGTCTCAATAACAGAGTGTAAACTGAATTTCCCCTCGCTGAATTAAGTATATCTTCTTCTTAAATACATGGCAAAAGAGTTTCATCTTTACAACAGTTTTCCACCAAATCAGGTGTCAGGGATAAAAGTCAATAACTCCACACTAACCTCTTTGAATGTCCGACAGACCTGCACACAGAGGGAAATACTGCCTGGGAGAGCGACGGCGGTACAAGACCTGTAACACCCCGCCATGTCCTCCTGATCTGACGAGTTTCAGAAGCATCCAGTGCTCTCATTTCAACAGCATACCCTACAAGGGAAGATTTCACAAGTGGGAAGCAGTCATTAATAGAAGTGAGCATGTCAAACCTGATTCAAGCTGGGATAGCATCTTTTAAAAAAACACACATTTGGCTGTTACTGCATAATGTTGACCCCCTTTGTTCTGTACGATTTTCCTCTAAACTCCTCCAGTGAACCCCTGTGAGCTGAACTGCCGTCCTCTCAATGAAGACTTTTCTGAAAAGTTGCGGGACGCTGTCATAGACGGGACGCCGTGCTACGAGGGCAACAAAAGTAGAGATATGTGCATCAATGGCATCTGTAAGGTATCCACATTGTACATTCTTATTCACATATTATCTGATTGACAATATCAATTATTCATCAATAACTTCCTACACTGAGGAGTTTTTTCTGTATATCATCATTATTATAGAAATGCTACTGGCCTGATTTTCACTAAACTTGATGGGAGGGTGTGTTTTGGTCCAGTGGAGAATTAAGTTACCAACCCCAGTCCCTACAGACTGAACTACTGTCGCCCCTATTTAAGTACAATTTACTCGTACTTGTACAAACCTATGTACATGATGAAGTGTTTTCTGGTGTTTCTATGTCTAATGTAGAAGTTCTTCACAAATGCACAGCTGGTAAGGTAACTCCTCAGCTAGAAAATAATTATTTTTGATATTCTTACAAAATCAAAAAAACATCCAGTCATGACTTGTTGCATTTGCAGATTTGCATTTCACAGAAGATATGACTCAGGTCTGGATTTATTCAAATGCTCTTTGATTTGTTCTATTTCTGTGTTGTGTCACTGCCGTGCTGCCAATCGTGCAGTATCTTGAGTTGACCCTCACCCTGTTTTCTCTGCAGACGGGTGTTATGTAGCCTAGTTGACATTCTGCATGAAAATGACTTAATAATAGAAAAACGCTGTGGTTCTTATCTCTCTGCTTTTCGCCTATCACCCTGGGCAAAAGAATGTCAGTCACTGATACAGACACTGTTTGTGTATGGAGTGGACATCAATCACAGTCTTAGGGCTCTGGCTTCATGACATTTTGTGACATTTTGGTCAGGAAACCAGCTTTTTTTTCTCTCCCTATGCCTCTCCTTCCATTGTTTAGAAAATCTGCTCTAATATTTTAGACCAATAGTCAATGTAGTACTCTCTATATTTAATCAAGGAGTTTGACTTTTGATTGTCTCTGCTTCCAATTTATCATCCTTAGAGTTAGCTCGACCTTCTATATTTTCTTTCAACCATAAACACAGTTGGATGAAATGTTCTTCCTCCAGGACCAAGACGCAAAAAAGTGAAGAGTCTGGTTCTGCTTAGTTTTTCCTTGCCACTGTAACTTTGCTAGAAGCTGCTTAGTGCTGTGATGGCTTGAGGTTGGGTCTTTGTAGATGTAAGGTCTTTTATCGGCTTTGTGTCTTGAGATAGCATTTGTTATAAATTGGCTATATATAAATAAAGATTGATTGATTGATTAATGGTTCAAAATAAAAGAGGGAAAAACATTAAAGTACATATACTGTAGAAAGAAAAACAGTAGTATAAAACAGTAGCAGTACTGGTATACCCAGTACATTTATCATGCAGCTAACACATATTATACACTGTACACATAGTGTATATATATTGCAGTGAAAAAACCTTATGTAGAAGATAAATGGATGTATAGAAAATGTAATTATTAATTCTACTATTGTGTGTGTGCTTGCGTGCGCGGCAGTGTATGTGTTTGAATGAGGATTCTGATGGCTTGGGGGATTAAGTTATCGTGAGCCTTTTTGAAAGTTTATCACGGTCTAGTTACAAAAAGGGTCGGACTTAAATCTATGTGTAATCTTGAGCTACTAGTACTTGTGTACTTTCCATTTCCTGCATCTTAATACTTCAATTTCCATCTCTAAGTAGATGATCTGTGCACATCTTGAGCTTCCCCTGTATTATGTAATCATTGTGCTCCTTTACTTGCACTAGATGTGAGTAGCAGCAACACAAAAGAGGACATGATCATAATGCCTTCTACATCACTGTAATCTCAAGCCAGGTTTAGTTCAGATAATGTATTATTTATATGTCTTTGCATGTCTTTGACAGAATGTCGGCTGTGACTATGTGATCGAGTCCAGTGCTGTGGAGGATCGCTGTGGGGTTTGTCATGGCAACGGCTCCACATGTACCACTGTGAGGAGGACGTTTGAGGAGAGTGAAGGACTTGGTATGTTTTTTTTTCTTAAACTCTGGTCCAGCAGTAGGCACAGCACAGGAAAAAAAATAACATAATGAACGATGGCTCTGGCTAAAGATTTAGTGTTTTAACAAGATTCCCTTCTTTACTTTGGGTCTAAACTCTTCAGAGCAGGGAGGTGTGGGAAAGATGCGTAGAAGAAAGAACATTTGGAGGGAATGGGAGGGGGGTTTGTTGCAGTAGCTCTCAAAAACTATATGAAGTAGGTAGATATATAATATATAATAAAATGATCATATTGGAACTTATGGCAGACAAAACATTTCCAGGTATACACTGTGTGTTTAAAGCATATTAAGGCCACAAATATGACTTATTATTAACTTGTTTTTCATTGTAAGCTGTTGTATAAAGCCACTGGAATAGTCCATTCAGTTAGTCATCCTCAGCATAGGTGAAAAGAAATTATTATTTTAAATTCTAAATATATATGTTAGAGTGATAACAAACAAATGAAGACTGTGCATTTAATCCAAACGTCATTCTCCATGTGGAATTGTTCAGATCTGTCCTCTGTATTTATTGAATGCGTATCAGGAGAGTTTGTGGTTCAAATTCATCGACAATCACAACGATGTGTTACAGGCTATGTAGACATCGGGCTGATCCCAGAGGGAGCCAGGGACATCCGCATCGAGGAGGTGGCTGAAGCCGGGAATTTCTTGGCACTAAGAAGTGACATCCCAAACAAATACTTCCTGAACGGTGGCTGGACAATCCAGTGGAACGGAGATTACAAAGCAGCTGGGACGGTCTTCACTTACGAGAGGACGGGACAGCTGGAGAACCTGACGTCACCTGGGCCGACCATGGAGCCGCTGTGGATTCAGGTAGGATTAGCAGATGAATGCTATGTTGTCATATGTTTGTCTGTCTTTGTGGTCTCAATCAATACTCCAGCCACCTGCAGAAAGAGGGGAAGTTCTTTCAGCTTAACAGCATGAAAACAAAACGAGGAACAGTGCGGGAAACAAATCAATCAATGAAACTTTCAAGCACCCTTTCATACTTTTTCACTACGTACCCCTTACGGTCCACAGATCACAGGATTCATAGGATGACTGACAAGACAATGATAGGAGATAACCAAGGCTGCAATGTACACATTTGTTATAAAAATTAAATTGACTGTGAAATTGAGTTACAGAAATGAGCAAGAAAAAAAAAATGATAAAGTAAACTTTTAGATAAATGCTGGAGCTGGTGACTCGCATATTGGTCTAGTTTTTCTTTATGGACTTCATTCACTTCAGGGATTATCAGCCTTTAATATCAGCCTTACATCTTTTATCATTAATATTGATATTAAAGTGAATCTTAGAGCTGAACATAATCAGTCCTCCCTGTTCCTCATCATTAAAGTTACTGATGTTAATACAAGACTGATCAGTCTATTATCACACTTAGCTGTTACTGCTAATGCTACACATACCTTTACCATTATTACCGGCATTGTAGCTATAAATCTACCTTATTCATTGTTGCTGCTCTGTCTGTCTCCATCCCACTTCTCAAGCCCGACACAGTTCCTGCAGCTGTCTGTTCATCATGAGTCTGGTTCTGCTCAAGGTTCCTGCCTCTTCAAGGCAGTTTTTTCTTTCCACTGTAACTTTGCTAAATGTTGCTGAGCGCTCATGATGGATTCATGTTGGGTCTTTGTAGATAATATAACGATGAGTAAGGTCTTTTACCTTAACGATCATTTATGTTGTGAATTGATGCTATACAAATAAGAATTGATTGATTGATTGATTGATTGATTGATTGATTGATTGATTGATTGATTGAACAGTGATACCCAAGGTGCTAATGGTGGTGGAGGTGGTATGTGTGTGGGAGGGGGGATTACCTTCAGAAATAGAGCCTGACAGATATTTCTGATACTGGACTGTTTTTGTTTTTTATAAGAGGTTTATTTACATGTTTCTGCACTTGGCCAGTATTTTGACACACTGTCTTTTGTGTTACAGCTTCTCTTTCAAGAGACAAATCCAGGAGTGCGTTACGAGTTCACCATCAATCGAAATGTCTCAGAGGACAATGAAATCCCTTCATCCGTTTTCTTCTGGAAATATGGTTCATGGACTGAATGCAGCGTCACCTGTGGAACAGGTAAGAGCAAAAGACTGCAAGCTTTGAAACATGTAGCTTCTTCCAATCCAGAAAGGAAGAGAGAACGACCGAGAAAGTGCCAGTGAGTGCAGTAAATATTTTCTCCTGTAGCTTTAGGTGCTGTAGTAGTCTGCAGAAAAACCCTTGAATAAAAACCTCTGAATGTCTCAAACAATGAGTTGGTTGGATTCATTAGAGCTATTAAAACATGTTCAACCCTTTAGAGGCAGCTGAAATAAAAACACAAGCAGGAACACTGGGCTATATGTGCTATGTTTATGTTGGCCCTGAGTCTTGTATTGAAATGTTTGGCCTCATTATTTCTCAGTCATTCGGTACTTCATGTGAGGAAGCAGTTTGAGATGTGTCAAAAGCTTAACCTTTATCATTTTGTACAGAATACTCTCTTCAACTACCATTCAGAGACATGCCAATAAGTGGCCTCTAGCTTTCTGTTACATTGATATAGAATAAAACCTAGCAGGTTAAAAACAGGTGTATAAATAAAGAGCAATCAACAAAACTTGAATCCTCAGAGCACATACAACAGATAAACATCAGTGTGTCTTATATGTCTTTTTTATTTACACAGACTTACATTGTTTGTTGTTTTTTTGTTAGAGGACAAAAAGTCTCCCTATACATTTGCTCATGCAGTGCATACGTCTATAGTACAAACAGTACTGTGCAAAAAAAGTCAACGCCGTACATTTGTGGTGTCTACAAATGTGTTTATCAGGGCAACATCCTCCAGGAGTCCCTCAGTGTGATGTCTGTCATCTCAGACCGACCAGAGGGGTCAGTGATTCTGACCTGTTTGATGTACATTCAAGATCAATATGTGGCTTTGTAGTGTTAATGAAAGAAAAGCATGCAGAGCCTTAGCTCGGTTAGCTTGATATGATGTGAAAGCCTCTTCTATCCTGTGGGACTCAAGGATAAACCTCTCTTGATACTGACATAGCTTAAAAAGACAGTGATGGTGGATGTGATCATGTCATCGCTTGCTGAAGTATTTCAAACATTTGACAGGATTCTTTGGTGTTTCTTTACCTGTATTTTGCTTGTTAGCTGCTGATGACATGCTTAAATACGTATTCTGCAGTGTAATAAAAAATAGCTTTAAGTAAGTTATTAAGTGGGCAATAAATTATTGATAAAGTGCTTTTCACAGACATAAGTATCAAATTGTTATTGAGGTGTGAAGAATATTTCTATCAGATGTGGCAACATTTTTTCAAACCTTTTCAATAATAGGAAGTCAGACTGCTCCACAAAATGGCGTCGCTTGAACACAAAACTCAAAGAACTGTTGACATTTTCACCTCTAGTTCAATCATGCTCCCTCCACTTATTCGAATTATAATTCACAACGTGTCTAGAAAGAGTGTTTGACATCGTTTGAGTGACCATCGAGCAGCTAAAAAAATGTTCAGCGTTGAAGACAGAACCAAAAGCAAGAAATACAATACACAAAGAAATAATATTATTAATATTAATAATATTCAAACACAATCTACAAAGGTCTAACTTTAGTAAGAATGCTCAGAACATCTGCAAACATTTGCAATGTCGCCCTTTTGATCTGAACAAACAGATCAGAATGTCATTTATTTCCATCTCTAAAACCACACCTGTGTCAGAGTTGTCCCTGTCACTCCCTTCACTCACTACTGAGGTTAAAATGTGTTTAGTCTTTATCCAGATCATCATGCAAAGGACTGATGAGAGGCAGCACTCACATTCTGTGGCTGCACACAAACACACATATGAATCTGCAGCTGACCTTTAACCTTCCTTCTCTGCCTGGTACAAGTACTAACATTATTCCGTCTCTCTTGGACAGATGTTGAAGTTCATCTTTATGTTTTGTGTCTGCCTGCTATTTCTCCTTATTTTTTCAATCTGCAGACTATTTCAACACTAAATAGTTAAGGGTCTCTAATTGAGACTTGCCTTTATCTGTCAGAGCCCGCAGCAACACCAGGCTTGTAAAAGGGACTCTGACTTAAATTGAGATGGGCTTTCATTTGAAGCTTTATGGTAGATCTGCCTGTTGACCATATTGCAGTGTAAAGATGTGCAAGTAGAGCCAGATATATGTTTTTAACCTAAGTATCTACTTATCTGTTGCTGTAGCAGAAATTAAAGCCCGACCGATTAATCGGCCAGCTGATGATATTGACCAAGATTAACATATCATGACTATCAGTATTGGCTAATTTTCTATCTATCTATTTCTATATCTATCTATCTATCTATCTATCTCTACAGATCAGAGAGAGATCTAGGAAAGATAGGCCGATATATCGGTAACAGAATGTTTCTCTCCCCAATATCGATACCAAAATCCTGTATCGGTCGGTCCTAGTAGAAATAGCTTGTCTCACCTTTTCCTTATGAGGAAGTGTTTTGCAAACAGCCTTTCAGAGATTTCAAATCAACCTGTAAGTAAACAAAGATGAGGAGATGTGTCCAAAAGAAAATCCTCTTTCCCACATATTCACATCACAAGACAATGCTTATTTTGTTCCCAGGTGCCAGGAAGAGGGTTTTACCGTCATATAAAGTAAATTAAACAGAAATATCTCCCACAGTGCTAGATCAAAGAATAGCGTTTGTTCAAGTTGTATTTGAATAATAGCTGATGTAAGGCCATGTAATCAACTTGGCTTAGAGTGTTTACATTCACTTTTCAACCTTTTCCCTTTTTGTCTCTATCTGGCTTTCAATCAAACATAGCTGTCTTCTCCTTCAAGTGATGTCTCTGAGGTGTAAATTGGATATCTGGCACTTGTTGTGGCTCTCAGTCGGACCTGAGCAAAGTGCAAGGAGAGGGGAGAGGGGAGAGGTGTCACCGGCTCTGATGGAGGTTAAATCCCCTCAGGAGAGCGAGAGTAATGAAGGAGGAGGAATAACAGGAGGAGATGAATCTAGCACATCTTTACGAAACACATCCCTCTATGAACTGCTATGAAAGATACGTATTGCTGTCCAACCCTTTCTATTTTACATAGAAGTTTGAAGACTTTTTTTTGTCTGTGCTGTAGCTGAAAGTGATAATACGTTGACAGCAATGAAAGTTAAATCGACCTTTTTCCTTACAGTTGACAGTGTTGCTTTGAATCAGATCTAACAGTCGCCAAACATATGGTGAGAATGAATAGTTTGCTCATTAAAAATAATCCATCAAGTTTCATATTAATGACTTTGAAAGGTGTGCTCTTTTGCATCCTTCGTCCATTAATGACTAAGAAATGTGTCGTCCTGTATTTCACTTTTTATTTCTGGTTAGGTCTTAGTTTTGAATCACATACTGGTGGCCTACCAAGTGCCCTCTATGTGCTGAACGCTACTATCATTATCATAATCATTATCATTAGAGCTTCTGTAAGGAGTCGGGAACATTTAGTTTTTTTTATGATTTGGTTCACCATGGCAACAAAGTGGTACCTCTTCTGCTTTGCTAGTTTTGTTCTTTACATGTAAAAGTTTTTTGTTTTTTTTGACCAAACTTCTCAGACTGCTTTTCTTTTAACAGTCATAGGTACGAGTCATCTCGATTATTTTCTGTGGAAAATGTAAAAAAAGTGGTGTTAAGCACTTCTTCTGACACCTGTCTGTAGCAGTGTTTACAGACATGGAAAATTACTTTACAGAGTGAAGTAATCAACTTTCTCCCCGGGGGTCTTGTTTGCTCCGTCGTCTGGGAGCTAGTCTTGACAAAAGCTTTTCTCTCCTCTGGCTCGTGTTCCAGGTGTTCAGAGGCAGATTGTTCACTGTGTGGAGAAGACTACGGGGATCGTGGAGGAGCACTTCTGTGACCCTTTAACCCGACCTCACAACAACCAAACCAGCTGTAACAAAGATCCTTGTCCAGCCATGTGAGTTCACCTGCCACACATCATTTACAAGACAGCACCAGCAGCAATCATCAAACACACAGGGAGGGGCTTTTTTTCTAACTCTTGAAGGGGAAAACAATTACTCTGGTTGTGTGCATGGAAGCAAAGAAACCATGATCACCAACTGAAAGTAAATTAACTGATACAGTCACAGGTTTAGCAGCAGGAAAGAGATGTTATATTTGTTAATGGATAACAGAGTAACATCAAATGATACATTTATGACTAGTGTTATAGCAGCTTTTCTATAAAAGACAACATGAAGAGGTTATTGTTGAAACCCTCGTGTGTGTGTGTGTGTGTGTGTGTGTGTGTGTGTGTGTGTGTGTGTGTGTGTGTGTGTGTGTGTGTGTGTGTGTGTGTGTGTGTGTGTGTGTGTGTGTGTGTGTGTGTGTGTGTGTGTGTGTGTGTGTGTGTGTGTGTGTGTGTGTGTGTCCCTCTCACTGATCCATACTTACGCCTCCGCTTCTTAATATATTTTTTTCTCACCTACCTGTGCATGGAACAAGTCTTTTAAAAAGCATTACTTCTGCACTTAAGCCCTTTGATTGTGAGTGAAGACAGATGAAAATAGGCTTCTGGACACAGCTGGCATGCTACTCTACTGAGATGGAAGAATCACTTCTTGTCGGGCAGTTTCCCTCCCACACATGTCATTACAGGTCGAAACAGCCGAGACACCTTTCAGACGAAACATGTTTTACACTGATCAGTAACACTTCTACTGCTACAAAGAATCTCGCTGCATAACAATGCAACACAATTGAGCTATTATCCAAAACTTTTTGCGATTTTACAATTATTGGCAAAGGACAATACTTGTATTGTTCAAAGTCATTTGCATGATGTATGTTAACAATTTCATTCAGTGGTAGTTGTTTGGAAAAATGATCAATCTTTTAGTTATTCTTAAGGGTGTCGAAATGTGAACTAACTCAAATACAGCCAACAACACTGTTTGCCTGATGAAGGTCTAACGTCGAAACATTGCCAATACATGTTTGCTTGCGTGTTAGACGTTGTGCTGGAGTATACCTTTAAGTTTTTGATGGACACATTACTCCCTAAATTACACACCTGTCCTGTGTAATAGATGTGAAAAGGATTTTTCTGTTTTGAAAAGCCATCAGCGTACCTTTCCCACGAAGACTTGACAAAAAACCAAACCACAAACAGGAACTCGCCAGGAAACAATGTGTGCATAAGTCTTAGTGCACGGCTTAAAAAAGCAGCAAGATAATACTCATTAGAACTTCTAGAAATCAGTAATTTCACGCGCAAGTTCTTAGTGTGAATTTGTTTTTTGAACTATTTTGGGTGTGCCTAAATATCTGTTTGTTTGGGATTAAACAAAGAGTTATATTCTGCTGTATAATTTTTACTGCTACTGATGGACCACTACTATGCTTTTGTGTTTGAATGCTATTAAATGAGATATATATTTATAGTGTAAGATTTAAAATGCTCTGTAGAAGTCGATCAACTCAAATAGGAAATGTAGAACAACAAATCACTTCATCAACTCTCACAAACCAGCAAGCAGAAAGCCTCACTCCATGACATGAAAATTCAAACTTGTAGCAACTCAGTGAAAATGTGATCGTGACATAACAAACTTTCATAAATAAGAGAAATAAAAATCTACAACAACAAAAACAGCATCCTAAAAATACAAACACAAACTTTAAGAAAAAGTCAAGCTTTGTCTGGAACACTCTCATGCCAAGTAAACTGCATGTTTTGACGGACAAAAAGTGAAGCACCTAGCTCTGCTTACAACCTGAAAACACAATAAGGACGGTGTGTCCTTCTTCTTCATTGCATGACATAACCTAACAGTGCTCCTTTGCACAGCAGTGAAATATTTTTCCAACAAAAGTCTTCTTACTATTACTTTTGACCATGTCATCTTTTGTGTCTTTGTGTGTAGCTGGTGGTCCGGGGAGTGGCAGAAGTGTTCAGCAAGCTGTGGCAGTTTAGGTCTGACTAAAAGAACTGTGCTGTGCATTCAGTCAGTGAGTGCTGAGGAGCAGGAAGCTCTGCAGCCCTCTGAATGTGAACACATGCTCAAACCGGCAGCCCTGTCCTCCTGCAACACACACATCCCCTGTCCCGCAGACTGGACCACAGGCAGCTGGTCGAAGGTGAGTCTGAGTCTGCTTTTTTCTTAAGGAAATGAAAAATGTTCCTAAAGTCCCCAGAAGCTCCTAAAGCTACCTTCAGTTCCTCTTCAAAGGATATATTTCTGTGATGGATGAAGTTAAATTAGGTTTCCATCGTGATTATGGAAGAAGCTCTTATCTTTGAATTAAAAAAAAAATCTGAATCAGGGTTTAGTGTCAAGGTTTACACATTCATGGTATATGTCTTTCTGGTATTGTAACACAAATACATAAAAATAGAATAACAATATAGGAGGATCATACAGTATAAAAGGAAAACACAATAGAATATTCTATGAAATACCTACAGTATTGATATTGATATGTGAATTTGATGTCATATTTTGATTTTTCTCACACATGGAATACAACTCGTCTAACATAAATGAATGGCCCTTTAAGATGTCTCCTATAAACTAAAGTGTGATGAACAGTTGTTATAAGGATATTTGTGCCGGTGTTTAAAAGAAGAAATTCAACCTGGTTCAACCAGATTGTGTCTTTTGAAGGTGTTGGGCTTTTCCCAGGTAGCTGTTTTTCTGTCCACAGTTACAGTAGCACTCAGAGCTGAGGCTTCCAGAGTCTGGATTACATTTTGATAACTTGATAAAATGATTTGCTTGCCGGTTGTACTTAAAAGGACCAATTTGTACTTCTGACACCTAGCGTTTAAAATGGGTACTGCAGTCCAAATTCAAAACATTGGAGAGAGCTGTCTGCGCCCCACCCCCTCCTCCCTATAGTCGATGTGCACACAGGTTTCCTTGTCGCGGACACAGTAGCTTCAGTGTTTAATCAGCCCTGCATTGGTTCTTGAAACCTTTCTGAGTTCTTACCTCTCTCCATTTTTCAAAAGCGCCTCCAATATTTATCTAGTTTTACCTGATTCTGGTTCTGAAGCTTATTACAAAAATGCAAAGGCTTTTCTATCTGATCCAGTTAGCTTACCTGCTTTCATCGCTGCAAAACCTGTTGGTTTGCCGTTTGCCAGGCAAGCCGATGGGCAAAATGGCCATTTGAGGGTGTGGCCTACTTCCCTGACCAAAGAAACAACAACAATCCGCAGCAGGAGGAGGAAACCAGCACTTCTACACAGCATGTTTCCTTAATGTCTGATGATATAGTAATGTCATGTTGTAATTTATTCAGTAAATATCTTACATTTTGCTCCTTTAATGTAATTTTGGTTATACGCCTGATTTTTTAGAAAAAGTCTAAATTTGGCCTGATCATTATCTGTTTATTTCATTTTTCTTCTTGCAGTGTTCCCTAACTTGTGGAAGTGGGGTGCGTCGCCGTAATGTGACCTGCTCCAGAAACACGGGCGTTGACTGTGACCCCCAGAGGAAGCCCCTTGCTGTCACTACCTGCGACATCCAGGACTGTCCACATGCACCAGACAATTTTGAAGGTGTCGACTGGTCTGGAAGCGGCTGGTCGAGCGAAGAAGTGCTCAATGAAATCAACTCCATACCTGAAGTCAAACCTCCTCCAAAATACAGCACCACCAGAGCCCAGCCCAGAACGCACAACGACCTTAATAACGATATCGAGGGAGATTTTCACTACCACAATAATATTGAAAATATTGATCCGGCTGCAGAGAAGAGTGTCCAAGTTGATGATTTTTACTATGATTATAACTTTATCAACTTCCACGAGGACTTGGCCGATGACTTTGAAAGCGATGGAAAGGATTCAGAGGACAGTGAAAGAAGTGATGCCCCACACAAGGCCAAACCAACACACAGTGTGAAAGACGACGCTCACATGGAAACCACACATGCTCCCACAGCCTCTTCAGACTTTTCCACAATTACAAAACCCAACTTTTTGAAGACTGAAGAGCCACAGAACACAAAACCAGACGGTATAAAGGCTTATGAAAATGCAACAACAAAAGAGTCTGTACACACGAGTTCTGAAAACTGGGATGACTTTCTCTCTGAAGAATTTCTTCTGCCTGTGTCTACCACTCACTCTCCACCTCCATCTCCCACACAGCATTCACCAACACAAAAACAGGGACATGACATTCTGTTGTGGCCTGAAAACACGAGCACAATGCCCATTCCGGTTTTCCCTCCAAATGAGCCCACACAGGATGTGAAATGGGGGCAGTACGGTGAGGAGGCTGAAATTAACTATGACAATTTCTCTGAGGAGGAAGACTCCATGAAGGAGGTCACTGTGAATTCAAAACACGCTCCTCCAACTCCAGGCCATCAAACCACTATTGATATTGTTGTCCCGACAACATGGGGTGTACCTGATAATTATGAGTACAATGAAAAAAGCACATTAGGTCTGCCTATTTCTGCAGGCAGACCTAAGAAAGAAGATGTAGAGAGTGCAGAAAGTTTAGGCTCACCAATGCCGGAAACTAGATTGCAGGTTGAAACTCAAGCTCAACGGGAGGAAAATGCTTCCAAAATACCTCAAACAACCAGGCAGCCATCGATATTTCAAACTTTCTCTGCTTTGGAGGACTTGGGCTTGGATCAACTAATCTTAAAACAGATTATACCACTAGTCAATATTCATGGGATACTGATGTTGATCTCGGTACAACATCACTTTCTGCCTCTGAAGAATCCACTCCTGTCTACATTCCCGGCTCTCTGCTAACCTCAGGTAACCAAGAGGCCTCGGATGACTCTACATCAATAACTGGAACAGAACTCATACCTCCTACAAACCTGGAAGAAGGAGCTCATCCTCCTCCAGCGGATTTCCTGCCAGCTATGAAACACATACCGACAGAACCTGCCTCCGCTGAAAGAACTGGAACAGAATCCACATCCCTAGCACGGCCCGTTGACTCTGCTGATTTTGACTTCAATGAAATAGTTATTCCAGCTCTAGTGATGAGCAGCAGCAGTGATCCTGACCCTTCGTACCAGCCTACAACATACACAGCAGCTGATAACCAACAGAGTGTAACACACGTAAAACCTCACATGGAATTGCTATCACCGGCTGATCCCGTTTTGCCAACAAATCCACCGGCTCTGTGGACTCTTCCAGCGCTCACATCGGTCCAAACTTCAGCCTCCACACAAGTCACTATCCCTGCTTACTGGGTCACCGGCAACTGGAGTGCTGTGAGTCTGCATTATATTACACACAATCTGCTTCTTTACTTACTCTGCCGTGTCTAGTTTTAGTCCCTTTGAGGATACCATATGTCCCGGATTAAACTCAGCCAAAGTCAAAGCATTAACATAGCAGTGGAAAGAGACCATCGCCTGTGCTGTGTTATAACTTTTAAAAGTTTAGCATTTTAGACATATTAAAAAAAAAAAGGCTCAGACTTGTACTATTTGCATTATTATCAGTGATAGATTTTGTGAAGAATGGAGAAACCATACAAATGTGAGTCATGTACTCGTGTGTTGCTACATTCCTGAGGCAGTGCTCCACCACTTGTGGTCTGGGTGCCATCTGGAGGACTTTGGCCTGCAGTACTGGATCAGACTCTGACTGTGACCCGGCAAAGAGGCCAGCACCAGCCCAGAGATGTTACCTCCGCCCCTGCTCCATGTGGAAAGTGGAGGAATGGACTAAGGTAAGACTTGATGTGATATTTTTTTAACAAAGATGATAATAGTTAATGTGTCATTGTAAATTGTTTACCCTGAACAACAGATAGTTTATATGACGATGGTTAAATGTATTTATAGGGACCTTTAAAAACAAGCAGGTTTTGATTTTTGATGTCAGATATTTCCGAGGCTCTGTGTGGCTGTGGTGAAAGCACAATTTTTTGACTATATGGAGGTGTGGTTAATAGTTCTTTGTCAGACAATGTAAGGGGCTTAGTTGTTCTGTAATTGTTTCTGTCATGTAACTTGAAGCGAAGATTTGAAGAGCTGTACACACAAACAAGAAGCATTTTGTAAGGGAATTCTAAAGTGGGGGGGGGGGGCAGTGCAGGGATGCTAGATGCTGGTTTAGTCTCAAAAAGTGTTTATTGATCTTTTCTGAACATGGATTCTGCAGGCTAGCAGGGGAATAAAAATTTTGAGTTTTTCCACCACTTTGGTCCAGACAGAAATATATTTGTACAATAATCAGATGGATTGCAGTGAAGTCATGGTGCACAGAGGAGAAGTTTCCCAACATTACTTATCCCCTGACTTACCCAGCAGCACCATGAGGTTGATATTTGGGGTTTTATTGTTTTAAGTGGAATATTTTGTCAACTTTTGGAGACATTTATGGTGGTCTGTGTGCCATCTAGAGGACGAATTAGGAAGAATTCTAATAACTTTGATGATCCTGTAGTAGGGCTGCTCGATTATGTTCATAAATATCAATCATTATTATATTAACTTGATATTGAGATCGATATTATTACACTTGATTACTTACTGATGTTATAACATCTGCATCACATTTATTTATCAAACTTCAACACTCTTAACGCTACAACGCGCAGAACACAAAACAAGCAATAAATGAAAATACATAAGTAAAGAAAATATATAAATAATAAGAATTAATACATCAAAATAAATGTGAGATGTTTTTGAGGTAGTGGTGGTTTTCGCTTGTCGCCAAAATAAAACGTTTAATCTTGACTATCTTGTTTTCATGATGCTGGGAAGACAAAATCATGATTGAAATGAAACTGGATTAATTGCCTAGTACTATCATGTAGCCTGTCCTCGAGCACCACCGTCAGGTCAAATAACAATTTGTTTAAGAATGTGCAAAAAAGAACATGGTAACCATTATTTTTTATTGACATTGACACATGTTCATGTGATGTTCATCACCTCAAAGTATCAAAGTATCTCTGTGTCTTCATACAGCCTCAAAGATGTGCTGAAATAACTAACTGCAGAATCTGGTAGCTAATAAAAATAAACACTGTCTTGTTTATTTGTATCAAACTTACAATGAAGAGATTAACTTCCTTTCACAGTTGAGCTGGTCAAATAGAGAGAAGTGTTTTTGTATAAAAGTCCTTGTGGATTTTGTCATATTATAAATATTTACTGTTATGACTCATTCAGATCAAAGATTCTAAGAAAAGAGCATCTGAGGCTGCTGCTAAGTTTGTTACTCATGCATCACTTCAGCTTATTTTAATGAGGTTTCTTAGAGGACTGTCAAACAATAGACCCACTCTCCTCAGATTCACTGGTGAAAGTCAAAGGCTGTGTTAGGTAACTATCATGTCACGTCCATTCCCAGTGCTCCAAGAACTGTGAAGGCGGCTTTAAATCCCGAGAGGTTCAGTGCTTCGACATGCGGGATCAAAGACCTCTACGACCCTTCCACTGCAGGGCCATGTCCTCCAGGCCACAGAGCCACATGCACTGCAACACCCAGCTATGCCTCGACTGGTACGCCTCCTCCTGGGGTGAGGTGAGTCATACGCAAGGGTCAATTACTAAGTTCTTTTGACCTTACTTGTCTGTGCTGCTGCAACGCCCGAATTTCCCCTCGGGGATCAATAAAGCACTATCCTATCCTATCCAATTACAGACAGTGTCAAAACATGCACAGGTAGTGTGGTGTTCTTCAAGTAGGATAGAAATGCATATCTATATGTGTATGTAACAACATGCTGAGGACGTTTTCACAGGGGTGTTTTAATGAATGATAATTTGTTGTTTGTTGTTTCATCAGAACTTCTCCTCAATGGCATTTTTATCGAGAACATCCTTCTTCTGCTTTCAAATGAAAATGAAGCAAAGCTGATTCTTTAGAACATACAACATCATAACACACACATGTTCTGTCCATCATGGTTCATTGTTGCATGCATGCATGCAGTCATATCGTTTATATATACAACACAATTTGCACTGCAACAGGGTTGTTTAAAACTACTTTTATGATCCTTTAATTGTGAATAGACTTGAGTAAATAACATGCATTAAAGCCATGTATGTACTGTGTGTGCGTGTTCATATATTCATATATTTTTTTACTGTGGTTGTGTGCACTGTTCAGTGCTCTGAGGTCTGTGGAGGAGGAGAGCAGCAGAGAATCGTTGCCTGTCCAGAGGAGGATCGATGCGACACCGAGCTTCAGCCCAGCAATTTCCAGTCATGTAACACCCAGCCCTGTGCTCAGTGGCTGACTGGATCATGGGGACAGGTACATCACACACACACACACACACACACACACACACACACACACACACACACACACACACACACACACACACTTTACTTGATTTCAGAATAGTTTAAATAATTCAACATGATTGATGATTCATAAACTGATGAATGCAGGTCAGAGATTCAAAATGGCTGTGGTTTTATAACCATGGGGGCAAAGGATCTGTGAATTATTCACTTCTTATTAAAACCCTTGAAATTTCATTCATTGTCCAAACAAAAGAGTAGCAGCATCACTGGAGTTTGGTGATCATAGGACTGTTGGTCTAAGGCTTTGCACATTCAATGACAGGGAGGATGAAGAACTAACCCTAACCCGTGGAGATATACAGAGATAATGCAAAGGATTCTGGGTTCACCAATTTGATTTAGAGAACTTAATTGACTTTCTTAGGAACTTAAGTAGTATTAAAGCATCAGTGCAAACACAAAACGAAGCCTTTAGACAGTCTAAGAACAAAGAGTATGACCAGTGCAGCTTCAAAAAACACTTTCACATTTCACCAGCTCAGGCGTGATAAGGTCCAATGGAAGTGAGCACTAAGCTTGACATGGAATGATTGGCCTTGAGGGGAGAGACCAGTAACTCGATGAAGATAAGTGGCTTTATTGGTTGTGGAGTGTGAGTAGGGTGAGGGAAGGGGGGCTACTTGTAGTTCTTTCTTTGAGGAACATCTGCTGTTAGATGCTGCCAAGTGGTTCCAGTCGAATCATTTTACTGCTCATTCTCATGAGTTTGTTGAGAGGGTTGATTTATGGAACCAGGTGTTGTGTTGAAAGGGAGGATGGCGACTACAACGCACCTGTAAAAAGCTTTTTGCATTGATCAATGGACATGCATTTTACAGATTTTCTCAAGATGTCAAGGCTTTTCAGACATGTGGGGATGTTTTCAGTTAGCTTTGAATGTGAGTTTGTTATGGATTGTGGTGCCAAGGTGTTTGTTTACCGGTGAGACGAAGAAGAAACATGTTTGTCGGATCTGGAAATGCAACAGAATTAATTTGTGATACAATATTTGAGACAAAGAGTAAAACCATGATGTAAACAAAGATAAATACATCTGGTACGTCTGGTCGCCACTTTTGTTGGACGTGATTTGCATTTCAAATTAGTATCAACTACTTGGATTAATCGTTACTAGAACCTCTAGTGATATTTGTATCTTCTTCTTACTGATTGAGCAGAAGCACTGCTGTAAAAACACACCAATGACATCATATATCTTGTCCATATGAAGCATTTCTACCTCCTGAAGAACACATTTTGGATAATGATCCATGTGGTGTATACAGGGGGAAAAAGCTGCAGGCATAAATCACGTAATGATCCGACCCACAGAGGGATTTAGGGCTGCTATTCCAATGTCACTACCTCCTGTTGAGTCATGCACATTACTCCTGTCCACAAAAAAGGGACAGAATAAATCTTTTAAAATCCCTGAACCACATCGGCTTTGTCAAAACACCCCTCGAGAGGCTTTCATCAGACAAGCAACCCAACCCATCCTTAGATCCTCCCTGTTGTGTTCAATGACTGATAAAAGTGCAAGATGAAAAATAAATGGCTTCTGTCCAAAAGACGCCTGATATATAAACTCTTACTCTTACGCAAACCAGACACTTCAAATCAAATTTGGACAAGACATCAGTCACTGAATGTTGAGCCTTTTGTGCTCAGTGGTCTGTCAGTGTCCACTAAAATACTTTATTTTTATTTATCCTTTAGTTTAGCAGGGCAGACCCACTGAGACTGAGGTCTCTTTGTCAGGGTCCCCTGCAACAAGTGTGAAAAAAAGAGATGAGAAAACACTCATATTTATGCAAATATCATGAAAACCAGCCAAAGAATGATCTGACACTATGGAACTACTGTAGACTGTAATGGAAGTCATGACATTTCATTTAACAGCACGTTTCCATTCAAATGAGATATGTTTAAAACATTTATCGAACAGTGTTCGGCCTCCTGCGGCGGTGGAGTTCAACGTCGACTCATCAAATGTGTCAACACGAAGGGTGAGACAAACGAGGAAGTGGATCAAGCTGAATGTGACCACGAGCCGCAGCCCGAGACCACCCGCAAGTGCAACTCACAGGAGTGTGTGAGCGCCCCCTCAGGTGAGTCGCTCCAAAAACATCATTCCTGTTTAAACACACATTTTTATGCACTGATAAACACTGTGTCTTTAATAGGTCCTTTTATTTTACTGGAGTGTTTCTATTATGCTTTATCCTAAGACTCCACCGTGTTTCATATAGTACATTTCAGTCAACTTCATGTATTAAGTTGACTGAACTCAAGTTATACGTTACTTTGAAGATTAAATTCAGATTAATCAGTTTAAAATGTAACTCGGTGAAGACATGAAGGTGTATTACGATTTTATTTTTATTTTTATAAACTGTTAAAGCCTGAGTAGCAGAAATTCAATGAGATCCATAAACTGCGAGCTGCTACATTATTGATATACATGAATACATTACTGATAATATTGTTGTAAGGATTAGATTAAAATAAATTCAGATTAGATTAGATAAATGCTGCACGGTGGTACAGTAGTTAGCGCTGTTGCCTCAAAGCAAGGAGGTTCCTGGTTAGAATCCCCGTCGGACCTCTCTGTGTGTAGTAAGCATGTTTTCCTTGTGCATGCGTGGGTTCTCTCCGGGTACTCCAACTCCCTCCCACAGTCCAAAGACATGCTTGTTTGTTTAATTGGGGACTCTACATTGCCCGTAGGTGTGAATGTGGGACTGGCTGGTTTGTCTGTCTCTATATGTCAGCCCTGTGATTGACTGGCGAAAAGTCCAGGGTGTACCCCGCCTCTCACCCAATGACGGCTGGGATCGGCTCCAGCGGTATAGATAACAGATGGAAGTAAAAATACTGATCAACTAAACGCAGTTTAGCATCTCACCTGGTATATACAGTATGTGCAGGAGCACTTACAGATATTGAAAATGAGAGTCACTGCAATGTCCGACTGCAAAATAAGAACATTTGAATCTTTAAGAAAAAATGTTTGTCTGACCTTGAAAACAACAAACTGTGGAGTCCAGTTTTAATCAGTGGATGCTTCAGAGGCTGAGTCTCTCCTCTCACTTCAGTTTGAATTCCTCGGTCAGTGGCTCACACATGGAGCTAACTTAATTTTCAAACTGATCTTTAAGTAAACCCAAAGAATATTCCTACTCCGGTTTATTTAAAAAAAAAGGTAGATACCCTGGAGAATTCTAAAATCTGAGGGAGAATATTACACACCATTATATTCTAATGATATTACTGTGCTTAAAAATACTCTGAATACAGGGTTGGTTGAGATGAGACATGACGATGACGACACGTCATGTGTATGTGTTAAAAAGGGGCTCACTGTTGTTCATGGGTGGTTCACATCAAGAGCCCTGCCTTGCACAAAACATGTGCTTCACTTCGTATGCAGGTCTTTATATTCATTATTTCTCTTTACTAAACATCCAAAGTATCCCTCTAGTACACTGAAATGTGTTGTTGGTTTGACAGCAGTTTAAACGGCTGGCCCACGCCATGTTATAACAGCCGGACTCTGAATATAGGTCACCTGAAAATCCAATTAAAACAGGAGAAACTGTTTGACCTTAAAGCAATAAACCATGATTACCATTTCTACTTCCACTGATAACGGTCTTGGTGTGAGACGTTCATACTGGTGGTGATTGGACAGCGATTGTTTACCCAGTCAATGGAGATATTGAGGTAAATGTCAAACGAGATAAATTAAGCCTTTAACATTACGATAAAGATTTTTGAGCATTCAGTAAAGAAGTCCCCAAACAGTTTATTGATTGATTGGTAGGGCTTTATTTTCAGACAGTCTGTACTGTCTCAGGATGTACAAAATACACAGCAACTAAAACACAGCCTTATTTTCACACTGATTTCTGTAATCCTACAGTACATAACCACACCAGGCAAGTTGGTACAAATGAAGCAATAAGATGTTATAGAAGAAGATATAGAAGTGTCTATTTCTATCATGCAGGTGTCCTTAATAAAATAGATTATGTATACTGTATATATAGTCAGGGATATTCAATATTTAACTGTCTGATGCTTCATCTTTATGAACATTTTCCTATTCAACATTTTTCACATACTTGGTGAAAGCAGCGTTTCTATCTCTGGGAATTCACCGCTTCTTCCTCTAATGAAGCCGCTTCACAAGACCAGTGGAAAAAGCTCAGTACAGCAGCCTCAAAGATCTCCTTTGTTAAACAGGCATGCAGAAGAAGAATTGCTACTTTTTTTTCAAAACTCTGATAGAATAGTAAAATACTTCTGCAGTCAAAGAATCTTTTCAACCCCTCTCCTGCTTGAGAGGCTTCATTTTCATGGCTCAACATTTCCATCTTTGACAGCCGAGTTCACCTTCTGTCATTTTAATGACATTATTTGAACAGTTGTATTTAATTTCCTGATACAGGTCACAGCGGTTCAGTCTAGTGATTGTTTTATCGCACAAGTAATCACAGTAGAGGGAGGCCTATTAAGAGTCTGAACGGCAGCCTCGCTGACATTTTTAATGCATAGAGGCATACACAGTGTTATAGTACATATCTGAAGCATAGGACACAGTGACAGCAAACAGCTGGCCATGTAAGCTCTCTGTGTGTCCCTCCATCTCAGTCAAGGATTTCTTGTTTTGTTGATGTTGGTGTTTTTTTAATTCAATGAGGCAGTCTGATGATTGCAAATGTTCAAGCTCAGAAGCTTCTTTAAATTCCAAGTACAAGCTGTAGCATGTACGATCAGCCTTAAACATGAAGCTCATGAAATGTATGTTGTGTTGTGTACATGTGTGTACATGTAATGAATTAATTCTGGTACAAGTTTAACATGAATCCCACTGATTAAGAAGACAAAGGAACCAGCAGTTTGAATGTAATGAGCTTAATGAACAGTGCCGTTTGTCAGGACTGTTGAATTAAATCTTCCTGAAATGAATTTCAGAGAATGTATAGCTGACTAATGCTTCATCAGGTTCATGTGAGGAGCATACAAACTCAGTTCATAAAAGAAATGGTGTGTTACAGTACTGAAGGCTGGATACTGACACATAATAACATCCACAGGAGTAATTCAATGATTGTAGTCAGTGGCGATTTTGGCTTCTGTTGGGGCCCTAGTTAAAACCTATTTTGTGGCCCCTCCAGCAAATAATTATTATGTCTCCCAGTTGTCCCAGCGCAAACCCCTCTTCTTCTTTTTTCCCCCGATAATTGACTTGACTGATAATTCTTATTAATTTCCATTCTATGACTTTCACTGACAAACTTTGGTTTTCACAGAAATATTGCATTTGACGCTTAGCAGGGCAACCAGAGTGAGTGCTGTCAGATGGGTCCACCTTAGGGAGGTTTCCTACTGTCATTGCAATTTGCACATTTCAAGTCACTTCTATGGTTTAAAGTTTGTCAGCCCTCGGGGGGGCCCCCTACTGGCCTGGAGTCCCACGCAGTCTCCTGCTTTGCCTGCTGACAAGCAGCACCTCTGATTGTAGTTTTATTGACAACATAAAATATTATCTGTACATCACAACACCAGAATGTATCAGTGACTAGGTTCAACCACGTTGATCCCTAATGCAATAAGGTCAGGTAGTTAGGTCAAAAGGCAGTAAAATAAGTGCATTTGTCTTGTGAGTTTACATTTTTCAAGATTAATTTTGGGTCTTTTTTGGTCTTTTTCTGGGTAGTACAGATATATCTTATTCATTGTTGTTGTTGCTGCTGCTCTGTTTGTCTCTATCTATCTTCCTGCATCTCCCTCTATCCTATTTTTCAAGCCCAGTGCAGGTTCAGCAGATGGCTGTTCATCATAAGTCTGGTTTTTCACAGAAATAAGTTTTTTCTTCCCCCTGTAACTTTGCTAAATGTTGCTTAGTACTCAGGGTGGATTCATGTTGGGTCTTTGTAGATAATAAAACAAAGAGTAAGGTCCTTTACCCGCTTTTTGTAAATTGTCTTGAGATAACATTTGTTATGAATTGGCGCTATAAAAATAAGAATTGATTGATAGATTGATACAGCGTGACAGGTAATGTGTGGAGAGAGTGGGGAATGACCCATGTATGGAGGCTATGGTCCTCCAAGCGGACGGCCTGGTTTTGAATCCAACCTGTGGCCTCTTTCCTGCATGTCATTCCCCACTCCCTCTCTCCCTGATTTCAGTCTCTATCCACTGTCCTATCTCTACAATAAAAGTATAAAAAGGCCAAATACAATATATATTTTTTAAAAAGATAGCCTTTGCCAATGGTTAAATTAAGAAAATGCTTCCAGTCACTATCTGTTAAATTTATACAGTAAACATCTACTAATAGATCAAGTTATGCTACTTAAATATTTAATGCTTCTCATTCCTAATCTGCTAATATGCTGATGATGCAAAACCAAAATGCACTCAATTCTTTGCCCTCTTAAAGTTTGTTGAACCAATATTCAAGAGTTATGTGAGTTTATGGTGAGCAATAATTTACAGAAACATAAAGGGCATTCACAGAGCTCAGACCTCCTCTCGGGATTTATTCCTGAGTCAGATTACAGATCCGAGCTCTTCTTTGCACATACTGCACCCTGTCACCAAGTCTAATGAAAAAAAGGCCAGCAGCCGCATTCAAAAAGCTTCCTCGCACAAAGGGTTTCTCAGAGAAACCAAGAAGGTTCTCAGAATCATAAAGATAAGACTAGACCCTGGTAAAGATGAAAGCACCTTAGCCCTGGAGAGAGCTCTCAAGGTGACGTGAAGAGGCTTTAGGCACAGCGTTTTCTAACATTTAGTGGACTTTATACTTTTAAAAAATGGCTTAGAAATTGATTACGGTAAATAGAGATGATCATATCAATGTCTGGCAAGATTTTAATGAATAAGCCGTTTGATTTCACTGTCTGTCTGCTCCCATCATCACTAGGAGAGATTTTTATTTAAATCCTTTTTTACTGATCAACCAATCATAGCTTTTGAAATAATGTGTCACACCTATCAATGGGGTCAACCGGGCTGATGCCAGTGGCGTAGTGGTGCCTAAAGAAGTGGGTATACTCTCTTTTTTTATGTGGCCCTCCCGGCAGAGGATAATGTG